GAGGTGGAGGATTTGCCAGCCAGATGTGGAGAACTACATGATACTATAATTTAAACAGGGGTTAGTATAAACTTTAAGAGCTAACTGGGAACAACCCTAAGCTAAGGCCAAGTTTTCATAATTAATAAGAAATCTTTATGTCATTATTTGGGAGGTGGCGCTCCAAAGAAAGTCCTGCTGTACAACACTGCTCTGGGTGTAACAAAGGACAGAACAGCTTCAGGAGATTAAAAACAAGTATTTTGACAAACTGCTATAAATGATCAGAGACCAAAGGTAAAAATTTATATAAATGATATTAAAAGTAAGGGTTTTGTAGACACAGGGAAAGATTTAACAATAATTTCACTAAAATCTTGGCATCCAGATTGGGTCTTCAGGTTATTTATTCAGTTTCTAGGGACTGGAACTTTATCTCACACACAACAAAGTTTGGGATGTGTCAAATGTAAGGACAAATAGAAAAACTAAAGCCATATGTGGCTAATATAACTATGAAATTATGGGGATGTGATTTGTTACAGCAATGGAAAACACATATTAGCATTCCTTCAATCCCAGAAACAAAATGTAAAATAAAGAATGTTTCTGAGAAAAATTTTAAAAGGTATTATCACAAATAGTCAAAGACCATTCAGGTTTTACGTAAACAGGACGCGACAGCTGTTGGTCTTTCAAACCTTTAAAACAGTTGACTGACAAACCTATATGAGTGGAAAACTGGCTTTTGACATCAGAAAAATTACAGGAACTAGAACAGCTGGTACAGGACCAGTTGAATGCTCAACATATTGAAGAACTGACCAGTCCTTGGAATTCTCCTATATTTGTCATAAAAGGAAATCTGGAAAATGGAGAACTTTAACAGATTTAAGAGCCATAAATAAATAAGGTGATTCAGCCAATGGTTTCATTACAGCCTGGAATTCCCTTACCTTCTTTATATATAGTCTATTACAGTGATTTACTTAAAAGACTACTTTTTTACTATACCTTTACAAGAACAGGAGAGATGAAAATTTGCTTTCCCATTTCCTACTTGTAATAATGCTCAACCTGTTAAAAGGTACCAGTGGAAAGCATTTCCACAAGGAATGTTAAACAGCACCACCTTGTGTCAATATTTTGAACAACAACCACTAGAAATAATCCATTACCAGTTTCCTAGATCTAAAATTTATCATTATATGGATGATAGCTTACTGGCTGACACAGATGTAGATACCTTAGGGGGAAAAATGTTTGATAAAGAGAATTTTGCCTTGCTGGGGATTACAAATAGCTCCTGAAAAAAAATACAAAAAGGAGATTCTGTCAATTATCTAGGATATTATAGGCATACAGAAGATTGGAACACAGAAAATATAAATCAGGAGAGATCAATTACAAACTCTTAAGTGATTTTCAAAAATTGCTGGAGGATATTAACTGACTACAGCTACTCAATTGGATTGACAACTCAAGAGCTAAGTAATTTATTTCACACTTTACAAGGTGATAAGGATTTAAACAGTCCAATAAAAATACCAGCTGAGGCTGAAAGAGAGTTGGGTTTGGTAGAAAAGAAATTACAGGATGCATGTGTGGATCGCTTCAGTCCAGAGCTTAATTATATTTGTTATTTTACCTTCTACACATTCTCCCACAGAGATTTTAATGCAGAGAGAAGATAATATCTTAGAATGGAGCTTTATAGCACACAGAGTTAAAAATCTAAAGATCTGTGTAGAAAAGTTTTCTGAATTGATTCTGAAAGGAAAAATGAGACTTCATCAGTTAGGAGGGATAGACAACTGAGATATTTTCTCAATTCAGGAAGGCGCAGAACCCTTTGCTACCACATCCTGGTCACAAAGGAATTCAGATGGGTACCAGTTCCACAGTAATACAAAGATGTGTTGCATTCTTTTATGTTGCATTTGTTTAACTCTTTGAAGCTGTGTTACTTTGCCTGTCTAAAATATCAGATTGGTTTAATAAAAAGCTGAACAGTCGATATAGCTAGGCAGGAGAAAGGATAGGTGGGGCTGGCCAGTAGAAAGAATAAATAGGAGGAGAAATCTAGGAAGAGATGTGGGAGAAAAAGGAGGAGAGAAGGATATCAGGGGCCAGCCACTCAGCAAGCCACAGAGTAAAAAGTAAAGTATGTAGAATAGAAAAAGACAAAAGCCCAGAAGCAAAAGGTAGGCAGGATAATATAAGGTAAGAAAAATCTGGCCAGAAACAAGCCAAGCTAAGACCGGGCATTCATAAGAAAGAATAAATTAAGTAATGAGTGAAGAAAATGAATGCAAAGGTGATGGAGGTAGCAGGACAGCTACCACAGGACACCACTGAGAAAGGTATGCAACATCTCATGGGTAGAATCAAAGGAGTGTATTGTGGCAGGATTAATCAAAAACCAAGCAAGAGACATTGGGGTCCAAATTGAAGATCAGAGAAACAAAGCAGCCAGCCACTAGAGAGTTCTCACCTCTACCAATGCCCAGACCCAATCCCCTGAACCTCAGATTGCATCTTCAGACTGTACTGCTCTCCACCAAGCCTCAGAATCCTAGACTGCTCTCTGAGACTGCATTGAGCTCTTTATATACTCTCTAGTGCTGAGATCAAAGGCATGAGCTCTGTTAATCTATTAGACTGAATCACTCTCATGTAGCCATGGGTAGCCTTGAACTCAAGAGAGATCCATCTGTCTCTGTCTCCCGAGTGCTGGGATTAAAGGTGTGTGCCACCACTGCCCAGCTTCTATGGCTATCTAGCCATCCACCCCATCTGTAGACAGTAGCTCATCTACTAATCTATTAGTAGTTCATATGGTATAGACGAAATGAAAGCTAATAACCCAGACCTAAAAGCTACCTAGAGCCAGGCATGACAGTCTAAGTCTATAACCCCAGCACTGAAGTGGTAGAAACAGAAGGATCATGAGTGCAAAGCCAGCCTCAAGTACAGAACAAGTTTGAGACCAGCCTAGGATACGTGAGACCCTGTCTCAAAAGAAACAACAGTCTGTGGCCACAACATCCAGAATGTACTTGATCTCATCTGATCAAAAAACAACACATAAATCTTATCGGTTTAATAGAGCACACTTAAAACCGTGTTAAGTAATCTGTCGGTGAGTATTATTTAGCTTACACTTGAGCACCACCATTCTGAAAGAGCCTAGCTTGGCAGGACTCTGGATCATGGTGTCTAGTGATAAAATATGCATACAGTTTGTAAATTTAAGAATTTCAGTACTATATTAATAAATGTCAGTGATAATATCCCTTAAAATAGCACAAGTAACCAGAAGCCCTGAACAGCCTTTGCCAAAGGAATGTGTCAGACTTTTTGGCTAACGAAGGCATTTAATCCCTGATCTGGGCTGGAGAGAGGGCTCAATGGGTAAAGTGCTTGCTGCTCAGTCATGAGAACCTCAGTTCAAATCCCCAGTGCCAAGGGGAAACATAGCTGAACCAAATCACTGAAGCCCAGGTTTAGTGAGAAGCTGTCTCAAAAAAGGTGGGGGAGGGGTGAGGGGAGACTAGAGGGATTCTCAGTAGTTTTAAAAGCCCTTACTACTCTGGCAGTTCCCAGCACTAACATAGAGGCTCACAAACACCTGTAATTCAGTTTCAGGGGATCAAATGCTCTCTTCTGACCTGGGGCTCCAGCACACATGTCTCTCTCTCTTTCTCTCTTTCTCTCTCTCTCTCTCTCTCTCTCTCTCTCTCTCTCTCTCTCTCTCACACACACACACACACACACACACACACACACACACACACAGTACTTTTTAAAAGGTAGACAGTTGCCAGGCATGGTGGTGAACCCCTGTAATTCAAGTGCTTTGGAGGCAAAGTAGGCAGAGCTCTCTCTCTCTGTAACTTCCAGGCCAGCCTGGAAATTCAAGACAGCTAGGGGACAACCTAGTTAGCAAATCTATTGTTATAGGACTTAACCTGAGAGGAAAGAGTTGTCAACAATATTGTAAAGGTGTTGAATATGTGGCAATAATGGAGACTAAGCTACAGACTCAGAGGCTTGAAAAAGACCTCCCCCTCCCCCAGCCTGGTAACTAGATGCTTCTGAGCACTGTTCTGCCTTTAGTCATTTAATGGTATTAGTGTTTCTCAATGTACTTTGGTTCTGGACCCGAAAGTCAAGAATCAAAATAACTTTCTGCCTTGGCAGATAAATTACATCAGTTGATAGGTTAAAATGTCCTTCTTTAATCCTTCATATATTCCTGAATATTGTAACAAAGTGCTTTTGTAAATAACTCCTTAAAGTAACTGACAAATAAGATATTTAATAACAATAGATTTAAGTTTAAGCTATGAAATATGACAAAATTCTTAAATGAATGCTGAATGAATGGCTACTGAACTGTTTAAGACAGTGAACGCATACCCACAAAACCCTAGTTTTCAGAATGGTGGGGGAGTAAACTGGGCAATATTTATATGTCAGGCACTGTGTTACATGTTTAGATTATGTCTTTAGTAGAATTTCCCAACTATTCTATTTCATTGACCCAGTTATACATGGGAAGAGTCTTTAAAAAACAAGGAGGGAAGAAGGAATAAAAGAGAGATAAATCTAGAGGTAAAATAGTTAACCCAAGATTAATTAGGAGTAGCAGAGACAGAACATAAACACAAAGATTAAACTTTTTGATTACTCAGCACTTCATGTATGCAAATTAAACCCAGCATCTTACTAAGAGCAGAACACACATGTACATCTACTACTGTGCCTTGTTTTAATACCACAGCAGACACCAAAATGTAGCTAAATGAAGAAAGACCATATCCTATGACAAGGAAGTAAACACATGTTCAAAAAAAATGTGCAGTTTGGCCAGTGGAAAACACTCATCTTTTAATAAATGAGATAAGTATGTATCAGAGAAAAGCGACCCCCGAAAGACCTAGCACATGTAAGGTCTTCTTTTAAAATAACCCATGAGCCCATGAATAAACCATCATTCCAGAGTTGTGATTCTTCCCTCTCAATCAAACATTTATGCAAACAGACAACTGGAGGTGCAGTCTAAGTTTTGTTCTTTTGTTTTTTGTTTTTATTGAGGCACACAAGGCATTGTAACTTGTCTGAAGTCCAGGCAGTCAGTTCAGTAAGCGACCATTAACACAGTTGAGGGTTGAATGCAAACAGTACACATTCACTATGTGACTAGCAAAGCTACATCACAATTTATAAAGTGCCATATTAGTGCTAACTGTCATTCTGCTCCAAAGTTTTCACATAAAGAAAAAAAACAAAACAAAAAAAAAGAAATAAAGGAAATAAAAGAAATAAAGGAAATAAAAGAAAGAAAGAAAGAAAGAAAGAAAGAAAGAAAGAAAGAAAGAAAGGCCCTCTTTCTTCCTCTAGGAACAAAATGTTTCCCCCAACCAATCAATCACCAGGGCAAGGACTACTTTCCCTTAGATCCACTAGTGAGAATTTCATTCTTTTATTCTGAACTTAATTTCAATCTTGATAAAGAAGATAACCTGAAAATGTAGAATATTTCCAGCTACTTCCATAAATTGCTCCCCTGTGTAAGCGCAACCATATCTGGTCTCCCTGGAGCAGCTGGAGAATGGCATGGTTGCTAGCTGTCTCATGGTCTGGAGCACCATCATTGGCATAGGCTGACACCAAGACCTCCTCATTCTTCATGAGATTGACATACAGTGGTACATTCACAGCCAGCTTTAGCATGTGGAAAATGAAAACATACGTGCCATTCACTGGGCAATTGAATCTACCAAGCTGAAGATCAAAGGTCTCACCCAAATTGTTCAGGAGAAGATCAAACACAATAGGTTGATCTAAAGTTCCAGGAGCCAGATTGGATGTTCTGGCAGCTGAGAAGGCAACTCGCATTTGCTGAGGCAGGGGATAGACGTGTACTGGAAGGATGGCAGCTGTTGGGCTTGTCACTGGCACATCCACAGGGGTCATGCTCCGGGAGTCTCCTTGCCCAGAGTCTCCACTGTTAAAAATCTCGCTGTCTCTCTCTGGGCTGCTCACCTGAGAGGAGTCGCTCCACCCTGCTGTTCATTGATAACAGAATTTTTCAGTGAGGCTTTAGCTTTCACAGGTCACTTAACATCAGTCAGCTAGTGAAAACACAACATTCCAAAACAAAAGCAACACAACATAGCCAGAAGGTTCTAGGAGATCTTGAGTTGATTCTTTCTTTTGTAAAGGTCAAGAAAACGTGCCTTCTTCTCTAAATTGAGTAATTTACCAAAACTCATTAACAAAGACTAAAACCAGATTGGGGCTCAGGGGCTCAAGAAAATTTAAGATTAGCTAAAAGATATCAGCTTTTAGAAGTACCAACAACTAAGACATTCAGAGACAGGACTAATCCCCAAGGCAAATTCTTAGTTCTCATTTCCTAGTTAATGTTATTATGTTTTACAATTGTGTGTGTGTGTGTGAGAGAGAGAGAGAGAGAGAGAGAGAGACAGAGAGAGGACATGTAGGTGTAGGTACCCATGTACGTGTATAAGAAGTCGAGAGTCTGACATCAGATAGCTTTCTCAGTCCCTCTCCACCTCATTTTTTGAGACTGAGTCTCTCACTGACCCTGGAGCTCACCAAGAGCTAGACAGTATGGCCTGGCAAGCCTTGGACACCTGCCCACTACCACTAGGGTTACAGGTCACTGCCACATGAAAGCTGGGAATCTTAACTCAGGTCTTCATGCTTACATGATAAGCACTTTACCCAACACAGCCATCTCCCCAGACCTAAAATAACAATGTTTTCGGTGCTGTATGAAAAGCACTGCTCAATACGATCATTTTCTCAAAATAGGAAGACTGCTTTACTTTGAAAAATGTCTCTTTGCCAGGTGGTGGTGGTGCACGCCTTTAATCCCAGCACGTGGGAGGCAGAAGCATGCAAATCTCTATGAGTCTGAGGCCAGCCTGGTCAACAGAGTGAGTTCCAGGACAGCCAGAGCTACACAGTAAAACCCAGTCTCGAAAAATAAATGAAGAAAAAATAAATGTCTCTTTAGTAACTCTTTTTTCCTTTTTCTTTTTTTTTTTTTTTTTTTTGTTTTTGTTTTGCTTTTCTTCTTTTTTTTCTTTTTTTTTTTTTTTTTTTTTTTTTTTTTTAGTAACTCTTTTTCAATTACACTAAATCATTGAATGGTCTCTTCTCATTAACAAGTGTGATTAAGTACACTACTCTGTGTTTTAACGGCTGCTTATTCAAACCTGTCATTGCTCCATATATCAATGGTATAAATCATACCAATTATTTTTAAAGCCATCATTCAGTTCTCAGCACCCATGTGGTTGTTCACAACCATCTGCAAGTCCAGTTCTATGGTTCAGATTCCTTATTTGGACCTTCAAAGGCACCAAGCATGTACATGGTGAACAAATATGCATGCAGGCAAAACACACATACACACAAAAAATGAATACAACTAAAAAAAGAAAAAGCCAATTTTGGGACATCAGACTCAACCTAAAGTTAGCATGGGGAATTGTGTCAAAGGTTAAATTATGCTCACATAAACATTTTTTTTTTTTTTTTAGAAACACACACAATTATCCTGCTTGGTAGTCTACTGCCTCATTCAATACTTTAGAATTACAGTTAAACAAGTTCAACAAATAAATGCTGAAAGCAATGTGCTTTAAAGAGAAATTGACAGAAGACACAGTAAAATAAAAGCATGCTTTGGGTAAATCTATATGGGTAATTACCCTTACCTTTTGAATTGGCCTGAAGACCACTAGATGTTTTATAACATTGCTGGAAATTATCCTACAATGAATACATGAATATTTAACTTGGCACCAAAAACACATATTAATTGGCATTTAGGGAACACCATGTAAAAAGAACAGTGCTGAGTAATGATGAAAATTCAGAAGCCAAGATGGTCTCTGTCAATCATCTTAATATAAAAGGGCTCAGTAAAGCAGATAGAGCACATAAATTATTCAATATGACCCAGTTTGTAAATCAAATATAAAGACTGGAGTCAATGGCAAATCTTAATGGATAAGGCACTTGTCACCAAGCCAAACTGACCTGAGTTAAATATCTAGAACCCACATGATAGAGATAATCAACTCCTAAAATTATGCTCTGGCCTCTATACCTGTACCATGGTATACACACATACAAATAAATAGATAGATAAATAAATAAATAAAATAATAAAATTAAGTTTTAAAAGAAAAATACTAGTGTAACCCAAATATAACCATGACAGTAAGTCTATAAGATTTGCAAAAATAAAATGTCTAAACCAGTTTTGTCAGATATAAGGAAAATTTCTGAGTGATCAAATTAGAACAAACAAAACAGTTAAACTTGTAAAGATGAACTCTGCTATTAAATATAACAAGTAAGTTAAATTGAAGGTAATTTAGTGACACAAATTTTTTAAATTTATTTGCAATGTAATTTTTATCCCATTTACTTGCGGTGTGACCACAAACAAGGAATTTATACTCTGGACCTTTTCCTATAGAGTGGAAGAGTAAACGAGTTTATATGAACATGTACAGTACTTTATACCTTTTAAATTCCATCCTCCCTTGATGACAGGGAAAATGTTCACCAGTCTAATGTCTACAACTGTTTCACAGTTCAGTAGCAATAACTACTTACCCTCTGAATGTAAGGTGTTCCAGGATATTCTCTAGCTTGCAGCTGCAGCTGACTGTAATTCCCATTGGAAGCTGAAGGGGGTCCTCTGTAACTATCAAAACCTAATATATAAACAAACAGCATATATAAAATAATGGGAAATGAAGCTCACTAAATTCTTTGGCTCTAAAAGTTAAACTATAGGGAAAGATACTACAGATACTACAATGTCATCATTAGATGCATGTCTTCTTTTTTTGTTTTTATAGAATATGAAATTTTATTACCATGTTCCACTGTCAAGATTTATGTACTTGGTTGGCCTTTCCTTCTTGCCTTTAGAGAAACACTGGCTACTTTAACAACCTTAAGGCTGACTCCAAGAATAGCTCCTAAAGCATAACTGTTTTTGGCAAGTATTTTGTTGCTGCCAAGGGTAGTTTGATTTTTGGTTTCATTTTGTTTTTTGAGGTTTTTTTTGTTTTTTGTTTGCTTTGGTTTTAGTTTTGGAATTTTTTATTTGGTTGTTTTTTTTGGGGGGGTGGATTTTCAAGAGAAGGTTTCTCTGTGTAGCCCTGGCTGTTTTGAAATTTGCTTTGTAGACTAGGCTGTCCTTGAACTCACAGAGATCTGTCTCTGCCTCCCGAGCATGTGCCAACAGCACCACCCAGCCAGCATGACCTTTTTGACCAAATACAGCAACCAGAACTTCATTTTCCTTAATGAAGTTCAAGCAACAATTACTGAGCACAAATGCTATGATAGTCTTGTCATTTTTGATAAGCCATACTCGGACACACTTCCTGGTAGAAGAATTTGGCTGTTTGACTTCATCCCTAATTTTTCCAACACAATTCCCTTTACATAAGAAGCACCTCCAAAAGGATCAGCCTCTAGGGCTATGCCCAAGTGGGCTTTCTTATATTATTCGTCATACCACTTCTGGTCCTGTCAGAGACTGGTGTAAAGAGATCACAATTTTTTCCCACCTTGTTGGGGCCATGGACAAGAGTGAAAGAGATCTATGTCTTTAAGTAAAAGTGTACTAAAATATTTCTACAGCAAAATACCATAATTCTGCTGGCAATTTACTTATTTTCTTTTTGGGTCTTTTGTTTTTTGTTTTTGAGGGTGTTTGTTTGTTTGTTTGTTTGTTTGTTTGAGACAGAGTTTCCCTGTATAGCCCTGGCTGTCATAGAACTCCCTCTGTAGACCAGGCTGACCTCAAACTAAGAAATCCACCTGCCTCTGCCTCCCAAGTGCTGGGATTTAAAGCATTTTCTGATGACTTCTAATGCTGTTGAAATACACAAGCCGGACTTTGGGTGAAGATGATGCTAATGTAATTAGGTACTTAAAACCTCACCATCAAGTCCTTTTGCTAGTATCAAGCTGCCATCACGATACTTGAAACCATAACTAAATCTTAGAGTCCACTATGTGAAATCAAATTCTCTTGTTCTTATCTGCAAAGTACTTTGGAAGTAAACTGAAAATGAGCCTTGTCTAATTATGACACATTTTAAAGGATACATCAGTAAAAGATGCCATTCAAATATAAAAATAAAAATCCCCCTTGAAAACCAAGCTGATCAACCCCCTACTTCAGTAAAACCCTAGTATCAATCTGCTTTGCAGACAGCAAGTAAGGTCTGTTGCAGAAAACAGGTATATTAGAAATATTGGGGGACTGAAGAGATAACGCAGTGCTTAAGAACACTGGTTACTCTTGCAGAGGAACAGGGTTAAGACCCCAGCACCAAATGGCAGCTCACAACTGTCTACAACTCCAGTACCAGGAGATCTGAGAACCTCTTCTGGCATCTGCAGACACTGCACTTACATTCAGGGAAAACACTCATGAGTAAAAAATGTTTTGACATACTCTACTACCTAGTAGATAATTATAAATGGAAATGACAGAAAAAGTCAAAATTGAGTCCAGTATGAATCAGGAAAATATATACATTAAAATATTTCAGTACACTAGATTCAAACATACCTTTGTAGCCACCAGGAGACCGATATGGATTCATTAGTAACCTCCCTCCGCGTGTACATCCTCTTACAGACCCCCGACCACTGATGAGCGGCTGAGCAGGTCTGGGAAACATACTTGTGGGTGCTGGGTGAAAGGCAAGGTTACCATTGCTTACTTGGACAGTTCCATCAGGATGGTAACCTGCAGCTTCAGAGAAAACGATTTAAAGTCCAGGAATTAAATGGTAATAAAGTCCCCATATTATCAACATATATTAAAATACATACTGATACATATGGAACATACACACATATATAATATAACCTATATTTTCTCCCTTTAAAAACATATATAAGAAACAGAATATTACTCGGTTTATAAAGGAAGGAAATCTGGCACATGTCACAGTATGAATGAGCCTTGTAGGTATTATAGTAAACAACAAGAACAAAGCATATGATGCAAACTCACATGAGGTAGCCAGGGTAGTTAAATTCATACAGTAGAATGGTTGATTCCAGGTGCCAGTGGGAAATTAAAAGGAGTTAGCAATAAACAGATAGAGTTACAGCCAGTGAGTGATGGGATGATGGCTACTCAGCACCTTAGATGTAGTATCATAGAATTCTATGTGAAAAATATTTAAAATGACACCAGGTATGGTGATATATGCCTTTAAATCAGCACCTGGAAACAGAAGCAGGTGAATCTCTCTGGGTGTGAGATCATACTGGTCTATACAACAAGTTCCTGATCCACTAGAGCTACCTAATGAGACATCTCAAAAAAAAAGTTAAAATGATTACTTTTACTTTATATACAGTTTACTACAAATAAAAATATTAAGCTAAATAGCCTAGATCAAGGAGTAAGAGAAAATTAATCCTAAATTTGTTTTGGAAGGGAGGACAGGGTCTCATGTAGCCCAAACTGGTCTTGAGTTGTTATGTAGACAAGGATAACCATGAACTTCTTCTAATCTTGCTGTCTCCAACTCCCAAGTGCCAGGATTACAGGCATCTTCCATTATGCCTGGTTTACAAAAGTGCTAAAGATGAAATCTAGATCCACTTGTATGTTTGAGCTACATCCCCAGGCTATGAATCTTACTAGAAGTCAAAATTGAGAAGGCCTATAACCAAAGTATCTGTTATATAAAGTGCCCTATATTTCAGCAATATAGTAACAACAGAATGAGTCCCTCCACATCAAGATCTAGGATCTCTACTTAATACTCTTCATCACGGAAGAAGAAAGCACCCAGAGCCTTAGTTTATTTGCTCAGCACATTAAGGGCTGCAATACCAACACTACAAACCTATCAGTGCTTCTGTATTAAGAAGGAAGGTAAAAAATAAAGGAAATTTAAAGTTTTTTAAAAAGAAAGGTCATCTATGCTTTCATCACTCAAAACAGCTTCAAAAGATCAAAACTGTCCCCATTCTCTGAGCTAACGATACAATAACATTCAACATTATTTCCTCATATTGTTTTTATTTTCTGTAAGAGCCATCACCTGTACTTACATGGTAACACAATGTATACAAGTAGCTTAAAAATCTTCACCAGAGCAGCTGGAGTGCCCCCATCTATCTCAATCAGACTTCAAAATAAGAACCAAGAAATATAAAGCAGTCACTGAAGCTATACCTCTCCACAGTTCAAATCAGGGGGCAGGAGAGATGCTTCAACAGTTAAGAGCATTGCTGTTCTTTCAGAGGACTCCAGGACCAACATCAAGCAGCTCACAACTGCCTGGAATTTCAGCTCAAGGAGATCCTGTGCTCTCTTGCCATACACATGTGGTATACACACATACACATATAAATAAAACTAAATCTTTTAAAATAATAATTCAAGATACTGGAGAAATAACTGAACAGTTACGAGCACTAGTATCTCTCACAGAGACTCTGGGTCCCATTCCCAGCATTCATGTGACAGCTCACAATCATCCATTAACTCCAGTTCCAGAGACTCTGATGCCTTTTCTGACTTCTGAAAGTATCAGGACATGCAAGCAAAACATTCATAAACTTAAAAAAAATAAACCTTAAAAAGGGAGTTCTTTTGTTTTCTTTGTTAAAGTTCTAGGGTCAGGTGAGATGGCCACAGAGGGTAACTCCAGTAAAGTGTTGAGTTAGTATGCTCAACTTATACAGAATATTCAGAGGTCTTACCAGTCTCTGGAGGTTGGGCTGTCTGTTCTATGTGTATAGCTGGGAGCTGGCATTGGGTTATAGTCTGTGTACTTGTTGAAGTAAAATTTTGATTGTAGCCAGGTGAATAAGGAGATTCTTTTATTTCTTGTTCTTTCAGTGGAGGGAGAGGTGCATTAACATTAAACACCTTAAAAAAAAGAGAGAGAGAGAGAGCACACAAAACCACTGGGTATGGTTCAAAGGAAATGCCTCAATAATATCTGTACAACTCTTCCAGATTCTAAGGCACTGGATGGGCAGAGGATTTGAACAGACATTTCTACAAAGACAACAAACAACTAATAAGCACATGAAAGCCTGATCATCATTATTCATCAGGAAAATGCAACCAAAACCACTATGAGATACCACTTCATCCACCACTGACAAAATATAAAAAACAAGACTAAGCAAGGAGAAGAAACTGGAACCTCATTGCTGGGGGCGGGGGGTGGTAAAAATAGTACAAGCACTGAGGAAAACAGATGACAGCTCCTTATAAAGGTAAATACAAACCCGCCAGTTTCATGTCGAGGTATCCACCCAAAAGAAGTGGAAGGCTTGAGCAAATATGATAGGACCTTAGTAACATTATTCCTAACAATAAAATGTAAAAGAACCGGAGTAAAATGAGACACAAACTTTAAATATCATTCAGCCATAAAAAAGAATGAAAAGTGTACCACATATCCAAAAACATTATGGTTAAGTGAAACAAACTGGAAGGAGAGAGCCAACTCCATAAATTGTCCTCTGACCCCCACACGCATGCAGATGTGCACCCGCCCTGCACACGCTAATAAAGAAAACTGTTCTTTAAAAGAAACAGGTGGTTTCATTTCTACCCAAAATAAGTAACTCCGTAGAGGCACAACTGGAATAGAGGTTCAGAAAGGGGGAAAATACTGGGAATCACGATCTAATGAGTGTTATAGCTTGCTTTCTGCTACCATGGTAATACCCTGACCAATGTTTTATTTATAAAGGATTATATGGCTTACACTTCCAAGTTACTTGACAGCAGCCTGCTTGCTATTCCATCTTTCCCCAAGGAACTCAATCCACAGACAAGAAATATGGTAGAAACCATAGAGGAACGCTGTTGATGGCTCATTCTAGGCTCTTGCTAACCTAGTTTTCTTATACAGCTTAAGACCACCTGCCTAAGGAACACAGCACACACAGACACACAGACACACAGACACTCACAGACACACACACACACACACACACACACACACACACATGGAAGGAAGACAAACACAAGTCCACAGGCCATTTTGATTTAGATAATGCCTCGTCTGAGGTTCCCTCCTCCCTGGTGACTCTGAGTTGCGTCAAGGTAACAATAAACTAACCAGGCTGGGCATGGTATTGCATGCCTTTGACCTCAGAACTTGGGAGGTAGAGACATGTGCATCTCCACAACAAAACAAAAACCCTGTCTCAAAACAAGCAAAACATAGTGCCTAGCTGAATCTCTGTGAGTTCAAGATCAACCTAGTCTACATAGTGAGTTCCAGAACAGCCAGGATTACATAGTGAGCCCTTGTCTCCAAAACAAAACAAAACAAAACAAAACCTGGTATGTGCCTTAAAAAGAGCTTGAGAGAAGACTCAGCTTTAGGAGATGCTACTGTTCTTGTAGAGGTCTACAGTTACAGGGTGATCTAATGCCTTTGGCCTCTGAAGGCATCTGCACTCCTATGCACATACCCACATACAGATACATATATGACAAAAATAAAACTTTAAAAATAAACAGGGCCTTACCTCCTGCTAAATAAAATGAGTGAGAACCTGTTTGAACTGGGCAGGCTTCAAAGAGGCAGAACAGACAAAGAAAACCATCAACAAAGAGGCACTCTGACAGAATAACACAAGCCAAGCCCAGTAGACTAGTCTGACAGGTGAGGCAAGACTTCAATAGTTCAGATGAAGGATTCTATATCATCATGTGATAAACCACTATCTGCTTTTAATTAGGAAAAGAAAAACTAAATTTGAGAGGTAATATGAGGCTGCCAGGGAAAGAAGAAAAGCAAGGAGAAAAAGACCCTCAAACCATAGTCAGAATAGGAGGGTCCATGAATTCATGCTCCTGAGTTCAGCAGCCCTGCTCTGGGCCTGCTCTACACTGCTCACCCACTACCACTATCTCCATGGTCCAAGCATGAAACACCAACAGGAAAGGCACTTTCCGTTATATTGAATGGCTTTCTCCCTCTGAAAAATACACAAATCTAACTTTATATTATCTTTTTCTTTCTTTTTTTGAAGACTCTTTTTGTGTGAATGTGTGTGGCTGCTACCCACAAAGGCCAGAAGAGGATGTGGGATCCCCTGGAAGAGGAATTACAAACAGCTGTAAGCTACAATATGAGTCCCCTATAAGAGCAGCAAGTGCTCTTAACCATTGAGCCACCTCTGCAGGCTCTGCAATACTATCTTTTTTAAAAGTTTCCACTACAATTTGTAAAGGAATACACATTGAGAACACACACACACACACACACACACACACACACACACACACACACCTGAAACAAACCTAAACCTCTATGAACCAGAATGAGACTAAAACAAAATTAAACGAATGTTTCAAACAATGATAGAACCAACTCATATATGCATCCTCTTCAGGTTACTGAAGCTAGGACCCTCAATAATGCAGAATCAGTAATGATTTATATTGGTCATTACCAAAACAATACATTTACCACACACATATTCCTTTTGTGGGGAGGGAGTACTGGGGATCAACCACACACATTTTTACATGGGTCCTAAGTTTTGTCTATTAATTTTCAGAAAGGCAAGGCTCTGATAAAAAGTATTCCTTGAACAAATCACTCTTAAGGGTAGGCCCCATGCCCAGCAGTAGATGGCCAACATAAAACAAACTCAACAGCATCTTTGGAGGATCTCTGTCTCATGTTGTCATTTTTTTTTTTTTCTATCTTATGGGTCCTTTGCATATATACTAGGGCTTCTGGTTTGGGAGATTTTATGGGATACCTGTGTGTTCCAGCATGTGTGTCTCTGCATCTGTTATGTGTTTAGTGTGCTTTTTCTTTGGCTCTTTTTCTTGTTTGGTGTTTTGTCATATTCTGATTTTTTTTATTATTATTATTCCTTAGATGCCTGTTTGTTTTCTAAAGATAGGAGGGGACCTAACTGGGAAAGGAAATGGAAACCATAATCAGAATATATGGTATAAAAAAGTCTATTTTCTTTTTTTATTTTATTATTTATTTGATGTTTATGGATACTTTGTCTAACATGTACATCTGCATACCAGAAGATGGCATCAAACAGGTGTGAATTGCTATGAATGCTGGGAATTGAACTCAGGACCTTTGGAAGAACAGTGAGTGCTCTTAACCACTGAGCCATCTCTCCAGCCTAGCCCATCTGTTTTCAATAAAAGGGGGGGGGGACTTTCTTGAAAACTCTGCAAGATTTAACACTGTCACAAATATCATTTATTCCAGTAGACAAATGAAATCAGCAACAACCCAAATAAGAGCAATATGAAGGCAAACTTCATCCATTACCAAAGATAGGCGTGGGAGAAACCATGGCTCTTCTTCAAAAGCCCTTACATACTCACTGTCTGCATGGCTTGAAAGGGTACTGTGCTAATGGCTGCTGAAATTCCACCTGCAGGAGGTAACTGGAAGCCCTTTGACAAGGGGGGATCTGGAGGAGAAAGTGCAGGCGCTGGCTTGCTGGGGGAAACCGCCATCTGTGGAGGAGAAATGCAGCATCAGCCACACTTGCCATATGACAAGAGGTTAACTTACACTAAGCCCCAAGCTGGCAGAAGTCAGCAAGTTCTTTAGGATGACATGGGAACACAGGAATGCCCAGAGCAGCGTTTGCTTACAATTTTTAAATCTCGGCTGCTGAGGATGCACACTGGCATTTGCTTTTTGATTGTGTGCTGACAAAGTGAGTATCATACAAGGGGCTCACAACTTCCTACCAGCACCAAGCTCTCTGCAATCCCTGAATTGCTATTTCCCAACTAATAATCTACTGTTGCTCTGAATATAAGCAAAGATTGAGTTTAAGGAAAACTTGGGGCTAGTTAGTTCCTTAGTGTTAGTTCTCTATTTAAAAGATTAATAGATATCTAAGTCCACTGCCTAAAAAATAAAAGAACTCTGATATAATTTAATTAATCCTTACCTATACAGCCAAATTAATATGACATTAAACCCAATCCCAACAAGATTATAAAGAAGATCACTACAGGTCACTTAGTAAAAATCACTTTTTCCTTGTCATAAAGAAGCCACCTATCTTAATTTAGACCAAATGAGCACTATAACAACTAATCATCTATGCTTTCTTTACAGTCTGTAATGAATTCTCCTTTATTAATTCACCTCAAAACTCTAACCTAACAGTTATTGAACTGCCCCAAAGTTTATCCCATCCATGTCTATCTAGCTCAAGGATTTGCTCAAACATAATAGTTTCTCCCTGTAACCCTTGATGTTGTGGAACTCCCTTCCTAGACCAGGCTGGCTTCAAACTCAAGAGTTCGGCCTGCCTCCTGAGTGCTGGGATTAAAGGCATGGTCACCACTGCTGGCTTGTCAAAATGTTTTTGATAAGATGAGTCAGTGAGACTGTAACTCATTCCAACTCAGTGCTAATAACACTATAAAAAACAAATCTTCAGTTACATGAATATTTTTTCCTAATCCTACCTAAAGCTCCTCTCTCTCTCTCTTGCTCTCTCTCTCTCTCTCTGTTTTTGCTTTTCTCTTTTTTATATTAAAAATGTTATAAGAAAACCTAATACTTTGTTATTTTAAATATCTACTTTGTTTTTAAGTGTGTGTGTGTGTGTGTGTGTGTGTGTGTGTGTGTGTGTGTGTGTGACTATACCGGTGTTTGTGCATGTGAGTATAAGTGCCTATGGAAGCCAAATGCCTCAGATTCTCTATGGCTGGAGTCAGACGTAGTAGTGAGCTTCCTGATGTGAGTGCAGGGACTCAAGACTCAGGTCCTCTCCAAAATCAGTACATGTTCTTCCTTTTTCTTTTTTAATAATATAACTTTATTTTATGTGCACTGGTGTGAAGGTGTCAGGTCCCCTGGAACTCGAGCTACAGATGGCTGTGAGCTGCCGTCTGTGGAAAAGCAGTCAGTGTTCTTAACCACTGAGCCATCTCTCCAGCCCCTCAGTACATGTTCTTAATCAGTGAACCAACCACTCCCCCAGTCCTGTATGCTACTTATTAAAATAAATTAATAAAGTAACTAAGCTGAGCCATACTTTCTTGTAATCCCAACGCTTGAAAAGAGGAAGCAAAAGGATCAGGAATTCAAAATCAGCCTGAGCTACAGATCTTCTCAAAAAATAGTAATTGTGAGGCTGCAGAGATGGCTTGACATTGCTGCTCTTTGCAGAGGACCGGGTTCAATTCCTAGCACCTACATGGCAGTTCACAACCATCTTTAACTCCAGTTACAGGGATTTAATGTCCTCTTCTGGCTTCTCCGGGCACCAAGCACCATGTGGTGCACATATATACATACATAAAACAAAATTAATAAATCTTTAAAAACTTAAAAATAGTAATTCTAAAAATACATTTACTACATTAGTTAAGATGAACACTTTTAAATCTACATACATGGCAAAGCTAAAACAGTGACCTGTGTATGTTCTAGGACCACAACATCTACAGAATTAATATACATTAATAAATACAAACATCGTAATTCCAATCATGCCAGTAATTCATAAGCTCATTCTGCCATTCTTTGAGACAGCAAAGAAATTAAGACTGTGGGTCTCATTACCTCAGAAGTCTCTGAGGTCATAAATTCTGTTTCGGTTTCCAAAGAAGCGTGATCAGTAGTAACCAAGCAAGCATTTGAGCTACAAGTAACTGTGGAAGTCACCTAGACACAGAAAGAGAAAAAGCATTGTCAACACACGCTGAGTTCACTTCATATTTCCTGGATCCTGAACTCCCTGATATCCTTTTACTAGCACTCAGTGGTGCCAGGCAGTGTGTAAATGCATTACATAAATAGTAATTCACTTAATCCTAACAAACCTGTACAGTAAGCACAACTTTCCTCATTTTAGTGGTATCAAGAAGAAGCAAAAAACAGTTGGGCAGTGGTGATGCATGCCTTTAATCCCAGCACTCAGGAAGTAGCAGACTGATCTCTGGATCTGAGTTTGAGGCCAGCCTGGTCTACAGATTGAGTTCCAGGACAGCCAGAGCTACCCAAAGAAACCCTATCTTGAAAATAACAAAAAAGAAAAAGAAAAAGAAAAAAAGCAGAAAAGAAAGGTAAAGTAATCTGCCCAAGATTAGAATTCAGTTCAATAGTAGGACACTTGGATTTACAGGACTGTTCCAGTTACACTCCAGCCTGGATGACCAAGATTCCTGGCCCTGAAAATCTGGTGCCAGAACTGCAATGTGGCTGACATTTCACAGTGCAGCTGGCAAGCCAAGCGCACAGGGTTAATCACACTTCCGGTCTGAAGACTTTTCATGCCTCACGGAAACAGGCAGAAGCATAAAAACAATGAACAAGCTCTACAAGGATCAAAACAATATCAAAGTTCTAAGAGAAAATTAAGAGTTAGAAGCAGGTATTAAATAAACACTAGAAATAAGCACAGAAGGAACAATGGCTGTGACAAATTAACAATGAAACACCAAGAGCAGTTTGGAAGGAAACTACAGTACCAAAAGGTATTAGAATGCAAGAGAAACCTACGTAAAACAGTCTAGCAGTAGTGATGGCTAAGTGCTTGTGCATCAATCCTGCATCCCAATACTTCCTCGTGGTTCTCAGAAACTCCAGTAACATCACAGGTAAACCAGAAATCAATGAGTGTTAACTGAACATCAGAGTGGTAGAGTCAGGAGGATCAAGAGTTCAAAGTCATCCTCCTCAACTACACTATGAACTCCAAGTCAGCCTGAGTGCTGTTACACAGGACTTCGTCCCAAAAAAATAGACACAGGAGTGTGCACGTGCACAACCGCTCGCGCACAGACACACACAGACACACACAGACACACACACACACACACACACACACACACACACACACACACGACGAACACTTTCACACCAGAAAGAGTTTGATAGGTCAACCTGGTCTACCAGGCCAACCAGGACTACATAGTCATACCCTGTCTGTCTCACCACCACCCCCAAAGTGAGAGTTTAGGGGAATTTTTTTAATACTTTTAGAACATTTTATATACTGAACACACGATTTAGATCTAACCAAAATATTAGGTTTATGAGCTTGTTCTAAAACTATGCTTTTTTTCAGTACTTTGAATTAAAATAATAAGCCAACCCATCATAAGTGGGACTAGCTGTTGTTGAGCTGTACCTGTGTACAAGGGGATAAAAAAAACACAGATACTAAGCTAGTCTTCCTTTGTCCATTTAATAGTTAAGCTAAAAAGACATTGAAAGCCAGTGTCATGGAATATAACTATTACCTCAGGGATAGAAAATGAGACAGGAAGATCACAAGTTCAGGACCACCCTGGACTACAAAGCAAAACCCTGGCTCAAAACACAAACAAAATGTCAAATTTTATTTAAAGCTTCACTTAATGGTGTAGCAGAAGTAGCTCAGCGGCAGAGCATCTGCGTAGCACAGAAGCTAGATTCATTCAATGTCTAGCACCACATTGGGCAAATGTAGTTTTACTTAACAACAAAATTTTTACTATTAGTATTCATTTATAAGGTGCAATCACTCTTGCCTCTAAATTATCAGTTTCAGTAGAGAGTAGCCAGAAGTAGCTTTACATACTGGGGAGTAAACATGGTGTTTGAGACCAGTAGTTCTAAGCATAGGTACTCAGACTTACCTAGAGAGATTATTAAAAGCACAAATGATACTAGCATGCTAGCACAGTACAACATTCCAGTACTCCTAAGGCAGGAGGATTACACGTATATGCTACAGAGTGAGTTCAAGGCCAACATGGGCTATATTAAGAGAATTTGTCTCCAATAATAATAGTAATTCTCTCTCTCTCCTCTCTCTGTTCCTCTCTCTCTCTCTCTTCTAGTAGGTCTAAGATAAACCTACAAAATTTTTTTCAATTATTCTTGAAAAAAGTAAGAAGTCTTCCCCTTGAAGCAAATTAATCTAGAGGTTACCTGTAATGTCTCTTGAAGAAAATCACTTTGATTGGACAAATTTTGTTCTGCAGATACTGGAGAAACTAAATCAAACAAGGGGAGAGAAAAGTTAACGCATATCAACTTGACAGGACAAAGTTTACTCTTTGCAAAGTATCAGCAGGAAAAACAGGTTCTACTGCAACTTTGAAGAGAGTAGACTGGACACTAGTTAGAAACACTAATTCCATCTGTAGTGTATGGTGATGTAGTTTTTCATTCTTGTTTTTGTTTTTAACATTTTTATTATTACTTATTTATATGTACATGTGTGTATGTCTGTATATGGACATGTACCTGAAGTTAGGGCCATCCCCTGGAGCTGGAGTTACTAGCAGTTGTAAGCTGCCTGATGTGGGTGCTGGGAATTGAACTCGGGTCCTCTGCAAGAACAATACATGTTCTTAACCACTGAGCCATCTCTTCAGCCCCCATGGTGATGTTTTAAGGTTATATGGGTAAAAGCATTAAAGCTTCTAAAGTGAAAGAACTATGACTTTCAAAAAATTACTGAGGATAATTATCTGGAAGACAAAGACTAAGCCATTAGGAGTTGTCACCAACTGATAAATATAATATATAATCTTAATAGTAAGTCTTAGCTGGTCATCTGTTTGTTTAGATCTTCCCCCTGTGGTTATACATATTAATATACTTTTTACAATTACATAGTTTATGGTTTGGTTTCTCCCATTAATCAGTCAGTTCTGCTAACTGTTCTGTTTGTTCCACCCAGCACTACAGCATCAGTCTTTAGCTGGCGTTCAATGTTTATCACAGTTGGACTATATCTTGATCATGTCTTTCCTTACCTGAGAAAAATTAGCAGGGAGCCAGAGGCCTCACCTTTGAGGCATCACACCAGTTTTTGATTCAGGCTCCATCATTAGTTACCATGGTATTCACTGTTCTAAATATCAGGACCCAAAAGCCTCCACACTAGATTTATAGTTCAAAGGTCAAGCAGGTCCCAGTTAGAAATTACTCCAGAAAGGACATGGAAAATTGATAAAAGCAGCTATTAAGCATTTCTACTTGCCCATCAGAGGACTTTTCTCTGACAAATGTAAACACGTTACTGAAGTGTACTTATGTCCTAATGATAATTTATCCCAATACAACTCCACTGACTGATGGGTATAATTAGAATAAATTAGCAAACACTTAAGCTATATGGAGTGAATGATTCGTAAGAGAAATAGCTGTTAGCTATAAAGCTGTTTGTTTTAAGTCTTTAGAGTTATTATTCTCCTACGAGGTTACCTGGAGAAGCTGAAGGCAACTGTGATGATGGAATTGCACTTGAGGGTTTGTCAAAATCTAGAACAGATTCCTAAAGATAAGATTTTAAATAGTGAGAAGAAACACAGATTATTCATTTAAAGTGACTAAGTAGCTCACTGTATTAATCACAACTCTTACTACAGGTACAGACATTTAACTAATTCCTACCTTGTGGTTTTTGGTTTTTTGTTTGTTTTCATTTTTTTGAGACAGGGTTTTTCCATGTAACAGTCCTGGCTGTCCTGGAACTCTCTCTGTAGACCAAGCTGAACTCAAACTCATAGAGATCCACCTGTCTCTGCCTCCAGCATTCTGGGATTAGAGGCATGTGCCACCATTTCATGGCTTTTCTTTATGATGTTAACAAAATTATCTTAAACAAGAAATTAGCTGGGCAGTGGTGGAGCATGCCTTTAATCCCAGCATTTGGGAGGCTGAGGCAGGTGGATATCTGTGAGTTTGAGACCAGCCTGATCTACAAGAGCTAGTTCCAGGATAGGCTCCAAAGCTACAGAGAAACCCTGCCTCAAAGAAACAAAACAAAACAAAAGAAAAAATTAAAGAGTCAAAACTAAACCCCAAGGTTACTGTCAAACCTCATCATTGGGCCAAGAATTAAAACTAGAACATGATTCTAACATCCAACTTAGATATGCACTCCTGATATGAGTCGTATGCATAAAATGTTGGCCTTAGTCTAGTCTAGTTTGAAATTGAATTTTTATTATACCTAACAAATGAAAGGTCTATTTATTTTTATCTCAACCACATACTGGTTCATGCTGATAAAAATTCCCTTCTCATATCTGTGTATCAGGGTTCTCTCAAGAAAACCTCCCAGACTGTACTTAAGGAAAAACTTGCAGGAAACATCCTAGCTCTTAAATAGTTTATCTTCAAATTATCTTTCACTTTGCAGACTAGGGCTGGAAATTAAAGAAACTCACTGGAGTTATGCAGCTGGCAAGAAATAGGACTGGTATTTACACCCAGGCTGAATCCAAAGCTCAAGACCTATCTCCTTTATTTACATTTACTTTACTTGATTCATCAGGCCTCTGTAATAGGATGCTGTTCTGATATTCTCTAAGAGTCTATGCCACACTGTTTAACTGAACAGTCTTTCATAATGGATTGGTGACACAGGACTTTAATCTCAGCACCTGAGAGGCAGAGGCAAACTGATCTCTATGAATTCAATGTCAGCCTGTCTACATTGTGAGTACCAGGCTAGCAAGGCTACACAGTCAGACCCCATTTTAAAGTGAAAAAAGTCTTTTACACAATTATCATTTAACTGTTGATTTAACACAAGTTTCCAATCTTCTATAGCTTTGAAGGCAGATGATGAGTGTCTCATAATGTTTTAGTGGGACCTGAAAGACCAAGCAGCAAACAGATTCTCAGTCTTAGGGCAACTACCAATGGCACAGCAGCCCTAATACCTAAACTCATGACACTGTTTTGTTTTGTTCTTTGAGGCAGGGTTTCTCTGTGTAACAGCTCTGGCTGTCCTGGAATTCACTCTGTAGATCAGGCTGGCCTCAAACTCACTGAGATTTGCCTACCCCCGCCTCCCAAGTGCTGGGATTAAAGGGGCACACCACCACCACCTGGCTTAGTACTACTTGGTCAGAGAGAAGCCTTTTGCAGTGGGCAGAAGTCAATACAGAGACTCACAACTGGTCAAAGTGTTAAGAGTAACTGTTAAATGCTCAGCTCTAAATGGGGCACACATATCAACTCCTTCAAAGCTCAAGGAATAAATATCCCATAGGCAAGCACAGAAAGAATTTAAGACCCAGAAGAGTGGGAGGAGCGGTGTGAAGCACTGTGTTCTGGACATGAAAAAGCTCTTGCATTCATGAACTCACGGAAACTATGGTGACCTATAGGAATCCAAGCTAGTCAATATCCCAGGGAGGAGGAGATAAGGGATTTATGAGGATCTACACCTAGCTGAAGATCTATCAGCAGCTTAGGTGCTGGGGTGGAGGGAGGTTCATCATTTTTCTTGTGGCTGCTAGATTGCTTTTTGTCTGATAAACAGGTAAATGGTCCCACACTCACACACATGCTGGCAGTACTAACTACATGCTGTGGTTTATTTTCAAAAAGAGGATGAGAATATGAGGGTGGGACTGGGAAGTATTGGGAGCTACAAAAGACAACAGGAAGGGGGAATTTGAACTGGACAAGATTAAGATACAATATACATGTAAGAAACTGTCAAGGAAAATCCTAAAATCAAAATAAAACAAAACATCTCATACTTGCATAAAGTTACAAGTTCCTTGAATCTGGGTCATGAGGTCCTGCAGTTTTTCTTTCCTCAACAGAGGATCCTTTGGAAAGGCAGAGGAAGAGTCTATAGGCTGAGTCATGGACTTAGGCACCTAAAAGACAAACCCACAATGTGTGAGTGAGTCTCAGTCACACAGTTTACATCACTGTTACATCCTCAGAAATCAACAGAAATACTATTTTTCAGGTTTATCACAGTAAAATTTTTATATAAATCCATTTCCCGATTAATTTGTTTTCCCCTTTCAAAACAACTTTAATGAAAATCTTTTTTAAAAATTGAAGAATTTCTTTCTAAAAGGACACAGAATTAAGAGCCTTTCTTCAAAGTGTTTTATTGCCAGGAAATGGTGACCCATGCCTTTAATCACAGCACTTGAGAGGCAGAGGCAGGAGGATCTCTGTGAGTTAGAGGCAAGTCTGGTCTACAGAGTGTGTGCCAGGACAGCCAGGACTTTTCACAGAGAAACCCTGTCTCAAAAAACCAGAAAAAAAAAATAATAAAAATAAAAGTGTTTCATTATATAGTTATTAGTATTTGTTCTCGGTGATATGAAGCCACTGACTATGACACACACCAGTGTTTCTCATCAAGGTAAAATTTACTATTATCACATTAAATATGCATCCCATTTTTAAGATATGTGATTTCAGAATCATTAAAATATTTATAAACAATATATATCCATATGCAATACACACACATACACACAATAGTATTGAGGAAATACTTTATTGTATTTAATTTAAAAGAAAACTCTTGGAGGCTGCTGCTGTTTAGAAGCTCTCATGATAAATTAATTGATACACATTTTTAATTTACTATAACATTTACAGTTCTTGCTTTTTTTTTCTATTTTATCTTTATGTGTATGGGTGTTTTATCTCCGTGTGTGTGTGTGTGTGTGTGTGTGTGTGTGTGTGTGTGTGTGTACCATGTGTGTGCTTGGTACCTGCAGAGCTAAACAGCATCAGATAGGCAGAACTGGAATTACAGGTGTAGCTGTCATAAGGGTGCTAGGAATAAAACCATAGTCTCCTCTGGAAGAAGAGCTCTTAACCACTGAGCTATCTCTCCAGCCTTTAGGCATATTTTTATAGCTGAGATAAGCTGTTCATAGAGATGTAAGTGTTCTCTTAGTTACTGAAAGAGCCTAAAACTTCAACATAATGCTGCCTGTGCCATAAAAGCGAATTCAACATCCCTGGTTTTCAATATCATTTAACAAATAGCATGAGATCAATATTCTAGTATGGTAAAGGTTCAAATACCTAGTGGATTTGAAAATTAGGGGGAATTTGTGGGCTTTTTTGGATTTCTGGGGTTTTTGTTTGTTTGTTTTTTTAAGACAGACTCTCTATGTAGCACTAACTGGCATGAAACTTGCTATATGTAGATCAGGATGGCCTCAAATTCTCAAATTAAAGTTCTGTTGTCTCTTAGTACTTTATTGGGATATTAAAATGGGGTTTTTAATATGCATATCAAAAACAGCATCCATACAATTACTAGTATTTGTGTTATAAATTAATGAAGTATGGCTGTCAATCTTCTACAAGGGCAGGAATAAGATAAAACTATCAGTACTTGAAGAAAAGGAGAGAAAAAAAATATTAGCACTTGAAGAGAGAAAAACAAGGAAAAGAAAAAGAAAAAAGCCAGGAGTGGTGGCCCATGCCTCCAATTCCAGCACTTGGGAGGCAGAAGGAGGTGGATCTCTATAACTTTTAAAGTCAGACTGGTCTACATAATGAGTTCCAAGCCAGCCAGAGATGCATATTGAGATCTTGTCTCACAAGCAAAATTCAGGTGTGTTAGCGCACACCTTTGATCCCAATGTTCTGGAGGCAGGTGGATCTCTGTAAGTTTGAGGCCAGCGAGGTCTACAAAGCAAGTTCTAGAACAGCCAGGGCTGTTACACAGAGAAACCCTGTCTCAAAAAAGAAAAACAGAAAGAAAATTGTAAAAAAGGGAAATAACTCTAAAATTCTCTTTCTGGAAGGCAGCATTGAGAGGTAGTTTGTTTACTTATAAAATGCAACATTTTGCCCTCTCAAAAAAATTATTCTTCACACTATTAGATGACCAAAAACTTGATCAGAAAGTTCCTGGCTAAAAAAAGCAGGTAGCTAAAGGAGAACTACTAAGTTGGGGTGGAGAGCCTTAGAAGTTAAGTCTTTAGCAAGGTGGTGACATGTTTGCTTTACAAGCAATATTAAGTAATTTATAATTTAAGAACAAGCAATACTAGCCAAGATTACCCAAGGATCATATCACTCCTTACAAACCTCACATCCTGAGAGAAAGATTTATCATCAACAGGATGAGGCAGACATAGAAATCTACTCACATCTTTGGATTCTACATTTAACTTCCTGGACAGGAGCTGGTCATTTGGTAACAGGTCTGCTGAAGCTGCTCCCCAGGGCTTTAAAGAAATCTGTGACTGTGGTGCTAAAGAGTGTTTCGGGTTCTCAGCATTGTTTTCCCAGGACACTGGAGTCCCAGGCTCCATCGAATCCTGTTCTCCGCACAGAGCGGTCCAGGACCTGCTGCTGCTCTGGTCACTTTGCACAGAGACTGTCCAGGATCCAGGCGGTAGCTTCTTTGGGTTTTGTTCTTTCTGTGACTTAACTACCCATGGCTTTGGTGTCTCCTGTGTGTTCAGCACTTCTTGAGGGCTGCCCACTTTGGGTTTAGGGGTTTCTGGCTTCCACTGACTGACAGGTGTCACAGAAATCTGCTGCTTCTGCTCTTCCTGCAGTGTTGGCCTGAGATAGCCCTGATCTAAGGAAACCACAGGCTTTGATACCTCCTGAGACTTGACACAAGACTCCAAGGACTCCTGTTTCTTCTCTTGACCATCTGGTTCAGGATGCATATTCCAGCATTTGAGGAGATTTGGTTTTCTAGCATAATCTGCTTCCCAAGATCGTTCCTCTCTTTCTTGTTTTCTCGAGTAATTTACTTCTGTCATATAGCGTCTGTTAAGAAACTAAGCCAGAGAAATACACAATGTGCTTCAGGCTTAAAACACAGGGACTTTCGATGTAATGTTCAACTCTATTAATATTCCTATGTCTGTCTGTCTGACATGAAACTCTTATCCTCACCCTATTTGAAGAAACTGGATGATTTCTATATTTACTCTTCTCAATTAACAGGAATGTAAACTTTGACATTTCAAAAGTAGAAATCTATGACCCATTTAAGACTAGAAGAAACTACATACACATTATAGTACTACAATCACTTCGAATAGTCCCTTTGCCAAAGCAAGTTTGTCTTTGCCAGACTGAGGGTCCTTCCACACACCTGTCACTGTCCTTTAAGTCACAGCTAGGATAGTTCAATTACTGAAAGTTATACTGTTTAGTTAAATGTCTCCTCAGTTCCCAGGTTTTTCTCTATTTCTCTCACATATCTATTATATTGTGAATCTGTTTCTACAATTCTTTTCAGGTTCCACAAATATCAATGCCACTTAAAAAGAGTAAACACTCTCTTCTGCTACCAATGTAAATCTGGTAACAAATCCTACACATCCTTAAAGTCAAATGTAAGGGTTTAAAACAGCAATAGCTAATGCTAAAGAAGTTACTGTGCATCAGAATAGCCCCTTTGGCCCTCACAGTAACACCAGATATGATGATCCCAGGCTTCACTACATAGATGAGAACAAGGATCCAGCCAGGTACTAAACCAATAAGCTGCAAGGCTTATTCTGTCTGCCCCAGCCTGGGACTCTAAATCCACAGTAACAGATGAAAACTTAAACAACTTCAGCAAAGGACCTGATCACTTCTCACCTCCTGTGGTTGTATCTCAGGCTGCACAAATTGCACAGGAGACTCTGAGAAGATAAAAAGAATTATAAATAAATACAAACTCTAAGTTTTTAGCCTGTTATAACTATAATGCACGCTAGCAATGAATGTCAAAGGACTCAGAATAATTAATACAATTAAATATATTCAAAGCAGGACTATTCCAGCTATTGTCTATTGGTCAGGAGCACGTGGGAGGCCTGGGGCTTGTAGCTCAGCAGTTGCATAGCATGCACAGGGCCTGAGGTTTGATCCCTAGCACAAAAAGGAAAGGAAAAAAGAGAACGGGCCCTAAGGATAATCATAATTGAAGCTGGTAGGTATTTCAAGGTTCTTTTTGGTTTATCTGCCTCCTGAGTGCTAGAATTAAAGGTGTATACCAACACAACTTGGTTTTAAGATTTTATTCCTAAGTAAAATAAAATTATCTCCTTCTACCCACAAATAGGTTTTCTAAACCTACGCTTACCTTATAACAAATAAAAATATCCATTCATATAGAATCCAACAAACTAAGTCATTTCAAAACGATGGTCATACAATGCCGTAAGAATGCAACCTCTATAACGGAATTCATGTCATGAAAGCAGAAGGTCACCACCAAGAGGGAGTGCAAGTGTTATTAGGAACAAAGTACTGTATGTTTGGATATGAAAATGTCATAGTATAACCCACTTTTTTTCATGCTAAGCAAAAATTTAAAAACAAACAAAGCAGGAGTCCTGGTACAAACCTATTAATTTCATCACTCGGAAGGTAGAGGAAGGACAATCATCCAAATTCAAGACCAGCCTACTGTACACAGTAAGTCCAGCCAACAGGCTACATAGTTTATGCCCTGTCTCAAAATAAAATAAAAAGTAGCAAGCTAAAGAACTTCAAAGATGGCTGGGTGGCAGAGGCCTACGCCTTTAATCCCATCACTAGGGAGGCAGAGGCAAGTGGACATCTGTGAGTTCAAGGCCAGTCTGGTCTACAATGGGAGATCCAGGAGAGACTCCAAAGGTCTGGGGGGGGGGGGAACAGAACTTCAAAGATCACAACAAACCTGACTCTTTGATAGATTCAGTCTTCAGTAATTGTTTCTTCTTTCCTGATTGCATGAGCATTTCTTCCTCTTTTTCCTTAGAGTTTTTGAGAACTGAGACATTTTCAAAATAACCTGAGTTCAGCAGCTTAGACAGCAGATCTTTCACATGTTTGTCTAAGAAAGAGTGATTAAGACTTAGCATATAACCTGAGTCCATTGACAATTATGGAGAATAAGAACCTCAGTGCTACCCTGTCAACCATCACAAGAGTGGATGGGGGGATGCCACACATGCAATTGTCTGTGCCAGGAAAACAAGACTAATTCATCTTTACACACTTCATACTGAGTCAATACAAACAGTAAAGATGAGACTAGATATTTAACAAATTACTTAAGCTTCTTTGGTTCTCTATTTTTACCATTTAAAAAATGACTAAAAAATCACAGAACCTAATCAAAGAGTATGGCAAGGCACATATTCCATCTGCCTCCAAGATATTACAACCAATAGGAAACCTTATCTTGGACATTGTTCCCTTTGGTTGGCTATATGGTAACCAGGTCTCACTAAATGTCAGCCCAGACAGTCTAAAACTGGTTATTCTCCTGCCTTAGACAACCCAATCCCCTAGGGGCTGGGATTACAGGCTTGAGCCACCAGAACTGGCTTAGGTTTTTTTGTTGTTGTTGGGGTTTTTGTTGTTTTGTTTATTTTTGGGTTTTTGTTTTAAGTTTGTTTTTTTTTTGTTGTTGTTGTTGTTGTTGTTGTTTGGTTTTTGTTTGGTTGGTTTTTTGGGTTTTTTTGGGTTTTTTTTGTTTTTGTTTTTGTTTTTTTGACACAGGGTTTCTCTGTAGTTTTGGAGGCTGCCCTGGAACTCACTCTGTAGATCAGGCTAGCCTCGAACTCACAGAGATCCTCCAGCTTCTGTGTGCTTAGATTAAATGTGTGCTCCACAACCACCTGGTGGGATTCTCTTTTTAATCAGCCTCTTTTTTTTTTCTTTTAAATAACATCTCACTTTATAGCCCAAGCTAGCCTGGATTCACAGCAATTCTCCTGCCTCGGTCTCCTGAATTCTCAGACTACAGGTATGTACCACCATGGCTATATTTTAGTCGTCTTCTTTGAGTTATTACTTATAAACAAAAATTTTCTTCTCCTACAAATAGCTTTAACAGATACAAAACCATGCTACCACCAACAGAACCACAATTTTAAAGCATTTTTAGCACCCACCAAATCCATCAAGGACTTTGAATTGGTCCCCTCCCCTGGCAACTTAGTGACCTTTTCTCGAATTGTACATGAATGAAGTCACACAATATATATTTTCATGCATTGTCTGACTTCTTTTATGAAGCACAATTACTTTGAGATTCATCCATGCTCTTAGATGTATTAATCGGGTTTTTTTGTTGTTGTTGTTGCTGTTTGTTTGGGTTTTTGGTTTGTTTGTTTTTTTCTCTAAAATAAGCTCTCACTATACGCTCTATCTAGCTTAGAACTTGCTGTGTAGAGCAGTCTGTCCTCAAACTGGTAATGATCCTGCTGTGTCTGCCTCCTAAGAGATTACAGGCATGAACCACTAGACCCAGCCTTACCTAATTGCTAAAATTCTACTCAATGAAAATATCCTATTTTGTATATCAATTTACTTACTTCTGTACATCTACACTGACTCTAACTCTGCTATGAATAGAGAATAAACACTGTATACAGGAACTTATGTGAGCACTTGTTTTCATTTCTGTTTGGTTCTATTTGGCTACACAATAAGTATACACTTAATTTTATGAGGAAGTGCCAAACTCTTTTCCAAACCACTTCTTCCTTTGTCTTTTGTTGCTGTTGTTGTTTTCAAGACAGGATTTGCCATGCTGTTTAGGCTGGCCTTGAATTCTTGTGCTCAAACTCCCTTCTGACCTCACCTCCTGACTGACTGGGACCAGCGTGCATTCTACCATGCCTGAATGAAATTTATAAATGGCTTACTTTTCTGAAGGTATATGTGCTTGTGTGTGGTTGCCATGTGCACATGCCTGTGGAGGCTATTGGTCAGTATCAGGAGTCTTCAAGCGTGCATTCTCTCTGTCTCTCTCTTCCTCTCTCTCCCTTTCTCTCTCTGTCTCTCTCTTCCTCTCTCTCCCTTTCTCTCTCTCTCTCTCTCTCTCTCTTTCCCCCCCTTCTCTCGTTTGCTAATTCAGCTAGACTAGCTGGCAACAAGCCCCAGGGATCCTCCTTTCTTCCCCTCCCCAGTGATGGGATTTCAGCCATTGCATGCCCATTTGTTTTTTGTTTTTGTTTTTTAACATAGATACGAGGGGATCAAACTCAGTTTTCATGATTACACAGAAAGCACTTTCCTAAGCCATATCCCAGGCCCCAAACTTGGATATTTTCTAAAGAGAAAGAAATTAACTATGATGAAAATATTTGTTAGCTTGTAGGAATTTTCATAGTCCTAAGCTCTGTACTGTATATTTCATGTCTGGCAATTTGAATGTGGTCATTTGATTGTCCAACAGACTAGCAAAACACTTGTCATTTCTTACAATCACCTACTAAATAAGCCTTATATTAACAATGCTGGGATTTAAAATTCTCAAACAGAACGCGTACCACTATTCAGAATAGGAAACTGAATTCCAAAATGTTTAAGCTAGTTGTCACTTAAAATTTTTGTTAGTTTCCTTTCAGTAAATAGGAATATTCAATAGCTTCCTTTAATATAAATAAAAAGGATCATTCTTCTAATGAATACACCATTGTCATACATACAAATTCTCATGGACTGACACAGTTTAGACCCTCAACATCATACTAAACTTCTAGACCAAAAGTTTATTATTTACTACCTAAGTCCAGAGTAGAGAAAACTCACATGTGGTTCCTACCACTGCTTTCTCGCTACCTTCCAAAAGGTCCCAAAAGTACAAGGATGACTGGTCCATCTGGTCTTCAACACTGACAAGGAAAAGCAGCAGCAGAACACAGTGGCTTTAGACATACATATATACATGAAGAGAAGTACAATGTACATACAAAATATAACCCATCAATAGTCAAGCTGTGCAAATATGCTAATTTTACCCTTTCGCTGTTTGGAATCGACATATTGAATTTTATATATGTTTATCAAAAGTAAATGTCTTCCTTAAAATGAATAAAAATGATTTTTACCAAATACAACTATCAAGAAATAGACCAAGAAGAGTTTAAGCTGCAGGGCAGTATCATTAGTTATCAAATGTGCCCAAGAAATGGAAGTGAGGGTAGCTTACTTTTCAACATGAGAAAGCTCCATTCCCTGAACCAACTCAAGTGGGAAGGCAGCGACCAACAAGCAACAAACAAATGAGAATGGAACAGAGCATCAGCATGGAGTAAGGCACGCAGCTTTCCAGAGTAAGCTGAGTTTTACCTAGCTTCTTCCCTACACCGAACTCTTCTTAGCTCTGCTCTCACAAAGCAAAAGCATGAAGACCTGTCTGTTAGTTGATATATCCAATACAAAAAAAAAAAAAAAAAAATACAAAAATAGTAGCTAACTGGGGAAGAAAATATTAGGTAACATCAATTTTGAAGTTTTAAATGATCAGTTCATCTATAACTTGTATCACAGTGAATATCAAGCTGCCTTGTTTTGTTTGAGAGAAGGTCTCACATCTGGCCAAACATTATTTTTTAAATCAGTGCTATACTAAAGACAATGTTAATGAGACCATTCAAACTTACTGAATTCCTGAATGATCTCTCAAGCATATCTAAGTTTCCCGTATTGAATAAAATTAACATTTTCTTAGTTAATTCTTAACTGCATACAATAGAAAAGCTAAAAGTGCTACAAGTTCTATATCAGGAAAATCGCTTCAACTGACTTACCTCAGACTCTCATTTCTTTCGGGGCAGGTCAGTTTCGAAAATTTAATGAGGTAGTCAAGTTCTTCTGAAGGCAAATGCATTGCACCATTCAAGCCCCCTTTTAAATCTTTCTGCACATGTTCTTGTGCCAAGTTCTGTAACACATACTGAACTTGAAGTATAGTTCGAAGTTTTTTCTTCTCGGCCTCAAGTTTTAGCATGTGCTCTCTTCTCTGGGCCTTTTTCTGCGCTTTCAGTAACTGTTAAAACAAATGCAGGTTCACATATCTCAACCACCCATGTTAGCTGGGGTTAGATAAAACATTTTGCATCTGAAAAACTGAACAGAGGCTGGGTGTGGCCGTGCACACCTTTTATTGCAGTTGGGAGGCATAGACTGGTAGATCTCTGCAAGTTTGAGGTCAACCTGGTCTACAAAATGAGTTTCAGCACAGCCAGTGCTATCCAGAGGGACCCTGTCTAAAAAAAAAAAACCCAAAATACATAAAACAAAAAAGCCAAAATCTGAAATTGAGTACCAATGTGAAAATACAAGTGGAAAATTCCACATCTAACTCCATATGATGGGGTCACAGTCAAAAATGTAGGCACACTGGGTAAAGGAGAGGCTCAGTGGTTAAAGCCACTGAGAGCATTTACTGATCTTCTGGATGACCTGAGCTCAGTTCCCAGCTCCCATGCGGAGTGGCTCGCACCTGCCTGTAACTGCAACTCCAGGGGATCCAATGTCTCTGGCCTCCATGGGAACTTGCATTCATGTCCACATGACCAAAAACCAAACATTTCTAACCACAGGGATTTGGAACAAAAAACTCAACATTTTCTTTAAAATGCCCACAGCAAATGTATTTGAATTAGGATTTTTTTTCAATTTTTATCTTTTGAAAATTCCATTCATAACATGAACCTTAGTCATATCCACTCCTTAATCCCACCCACCCTCAACATACCAACCTTCCCAACTTTTTTTTAACCTTTTTTTTTTTTTTTTTTTTGGAGACAGAGTTTCTCTGTATAGCTCTGGCTGCCCTGGAACTCACTCTGTAGACCAGGCTGGCCTCAAACTCAGAGATTCACCTGACTCTGCCTCCTGAGTGCTGGGATCTGTCCAGCTCATAATTATACCTTGAAGCATAACATGTTATGTAAGCAATGTGACATACCATTTAAATAAAACATATACTGCTAGGCATAGTGACACATGCCTTGAATCCCAGCACCCAGGAGGCACAGGGAAGACACTTTTGTGCGTCCAACACCAGCCTGGTATCCACAGGAAGCTCAGGACAACCTGGGCTACATAGTGAGACCCTATCTCAAATTTAATAATTGGAGGCTGGGGAGACGGCTCAGTGGTTAAGAGCACTTGTTCTTCCGGAGGACTCAGGTTCAGTGCCAACACTACATGGGGCAGTCATAACTTCCTGATGCTCCAGTTTGAAATTTAACACCCTCTTGTGAACTCCTTGAGCACCAGGCACACACATGGTACACATAAATACACTCAAGTAAAGCACTCACATACATAAAAATAAGTCTAAATGTTTTAAATAATAATGTACCTGTTTCCACAAGAAAATATAGTTTTCCCACATAGCTTTCATGATTATGTTTCTATAATACTGGTTATTTGTTTTTTTAAAACAAAACAGCAAAGAAAGAAAAAGACTCAAGATTTCTTTCCAATAAATGGGTTATTGATGCAAGTATCAATATCTTAAAGTCTATAAAAGATATACCCAACCAGGCATGGTGATGCATGCCTAAGATTTCACAAATTTGAACATAGCCAACTGCACAATGAGTTCCAAACAAGCCTTGTCTACACAGCAAGACAAAGGAAAAGGAAAAAAGAGGAAAATAAGGGGAAAGTGTAAAGAAAGGAAACAAAACAAAAAGAAATTTTAAAAAGATGCTGTGGTTTCAAAGAAAATGGGCCCTAAAGGGAGTGTCACTATCAGGAGATGTGGCCTTGCTGGAAGAAGTGTGTCACTGTTGGGGCAGGCTTTGAGATTCCTTTTATGCAAGCTTCCCTCAGGGTGACAGTCGGTCAACTTCTTGTTGCCTCTGAATAAAATGTAAGGACTGTCAGCTCAGCACTGCGTCTGCCTGCACGCTGCCATGCTCCCTGACAGGATGATAATAGACTGAGCTTCTGAAACTGTAAGTGAGCCACCCCAATTAAAAGTTTCCTTTGTAAGAGTTGCTGTGGTTTGTAGCACAAGTTCTCTTAGGTTTTAATAATAAAAACTCAGAGTCAGGGCCAGGAGGTGGTGGTGCACACCTTAAATCCCAGCACCTGGGAGGCAGAGGCAAGAGGATCTCAGGGAGTTTAAGGCCAGTCTGGTCTACAAAGCAAGTTGCAGGACAGCCAAGACTGTTACACCAAGAAACCCTACCTCAAAAAGAAAAAAGCCCTCCAAGTCCGATACTCAGGTTAATGCTAAAGATCAGAGAAATAAATTGGCCAGCCACTAGAGAGTTCTTGCCTGTACCAATGCTCAGACCTTTCAAAGAGGCAATCCTATCCTCAGACTGTCTCACACTGCACTGAGCGCCTGTCTCCTCCCACCTTATATTCCTCTCTCCAACCAGCAATAAATGCCGTCCTGTCTCCACCTCCTTAGTCCTTTGTGTGTGAACTCTTTCTCTTTTTGACAGATTCCATCTCATGTAGCCCAGGGGAAATTTGTCTGCCTCTGTCTCCTGAGTCTGGGATTATAGGTGTGTGCCACCACTGCCTGAACTCTATGGCTAACTACTGTGGCTAGCTTTGCAATCTAATCTTCAGACAAGCTTTATTTGTTAGATCATGAACAAAATATTATCACAGTGGTCATGTGTCTCTTCACAGCAACAAAAACACTAACTAAAACAGATGTTCATAAATCCTGACAAACTGAGATTAGAGGATTAAAAACAAAAACAAAAAATATTCAGTTCATTCCTTCCTAAGGGTATGGAAGCAACTTATTAAATTTACTTACTAGTAGAGAAAAGAGACAACAGGAAGGGGTTATGTAACTAATTAGGGCTGTGTTGTAAAGATGCCAAAGGCCCAATAAGTCTTTTTCTGAGACCTGGGTATTGACTGTACCAGTCACACTTCACAAAACTACAGGTTCTGAGTTCTGCCCAAGGGAAGAAAGATAGAGGTGCTACTTCTAACTCTCCAAGACAGTTCATCTTAGTTTATACAAGAAAGACAAATAATTACCCTGAAATGTCTTCATGACCACATATACCACATCATAGAGCTGAGGAGATGGTTTAGTGGATAAGGTGCTTGCCCAAGCACAAGTATGAGGATTAGAACTCAGATCATCCCCAGGATCCACTTACAAGCCAGGCAGGCACGGTGGCTGCCTGTAACACAAGCACTCAGGAGGCAGATGTGGGCTCCCTGATGAAACTGGTTACTAGACTAGCTGATAGGCAACCCCTGGATTCAATTGAGACACTATCTCAATTAAGTAGGGAATAATCAAGGAAGAAAACCAAAGCGTACACTGGATCTCCACAAACATGCATGGACACGTGCACATATACTCATGAACACATACACACAACACACCGAAATAAATACACACATACCACATCATAGCTTCATATTTCTCTTTAGCCTATTTATGCCAACCTGAAAGTCCTCCAGCAAAGTCTCTGTCACATCAAATAGTCATAAGTGTAATTCACTTATCTATGTATTACTTTTTGGCAGTGCTGAGAATGAATCCCAGGGCCACGCACACGCTAAGCTAGTGTTTTGCCACCACTGAGCTACACCTCCAGTCCCCAGTTTTCTCTTTCATTTTTTCTGCATTCATAATGACAGAGACACATATTTTGGTTATTCATCCACACATCACGGCCTAGAGACTGGTACAAAACAGGAACTGAAATATCTGTTAAATCAAATCAACTACACTATCTCCTTCATGATCAGAGCTCATGAAAAGCCACTAACAGCTTTCTTTTCCTTATCTATGTACAAACTAAGAAAACCTTGGACTTTTTTCTTCTTTGTTGATCAGTTTGAAAAGGACAACACATAATAAACAACAATCAGCAATACTGAATGAAAGTTTACTTTCTAAACCATTACTTAGTATAGTGGATTTTGCCTAAGGACAGAAATCTTCAAGAAACTAAGGAGAATATAGTTAGACTGAGCAGAACAAGATGTTCCACAATCTACAGAAATGACAAAAACAAAATTTTAACAGCAGCCCAAAAGCTACCAGAAAAAGGAAGAGGAAGGTAAAATGACAAACAACTTGAGGGCTTGACTCAAGAAGGCAAGCTCAGGGCTGGAGAGATGGACAACCTCCTCAGGCACCAGGCATGCACATGGTACACATACACATAGCCCGAACACCCATGTAAAATAATCTAAAAATACTTAAAATGGGATGAGATGGGGTTATAGCAAGTTCTAGACTACTGACACATCGCAAGTTCTAGACTACTGACACATTACAAGGGGAAAGAAATCTGAAACAGTGGCCAGGCAGGCAGATCTCTGAGTTCCAGGCCAGCCTGGTCTACATAATGAGTTCCAGACCAACCAGTGCTAAATAGTAAGACCCTGTCTCAAGGATGAGGGAGGAAGGAAAGGAGGGAAGGAGGGAGGGAAGGAGGGAGGGAAGGAAGGAAAGGTAGGAAAGGCATAAAGTATGGACAGCAAGTGAAAATGCTTTCATGGGGGCTGGTGGATACATGGCTCAGCAGTTAAGAGCATTGAATGCTCTTCTAGAGGACCCTAATTCAATTCTCAGCATCTACATAGCAGCTCACGACTGTCTATAACTCCAATTCCAGGGGCATCTGACACCCTCACACAGATATACATGCAAGCAAAACACCAATGACCATTAAAAAAATTAATTACTTAAAAAAAAAAGCACCAATAAAAAAGAAAATGCTTTCATGAAACCAGCATTGTTGTGGGGTATTTTTTTACACTGTATGAAGATGTGTCACTGTGATTGGTTTAATAAAAAGCTGACTAGCCAACAGTTAGGTAGGAGAGGTTGGCGGGACTTCCAAGCAGAGAAAGGAACTTAGAGGGTTAGAACCTAGGTGCACAGGAGATGCCAGTGAAACACTGAGAAAATCAGAAATACTTAATGGAAGAGAGGTAAAAAGCCACATGATAAAACATAGCTTGATTAAAAACTGGTTAATTTAAGTTATAAGAACTAGTTAGGGATAAGCCTAAGCTAAAGCCTAAGGTCAAGCTTTCATAATTAATAATTCTCAATGTCATTGTTTTTAGACTATCGGCCCAAAAGGAAAGTCAGACTATACAGCATAGCTTGCCAAAGTAGGTGCCATCTCTAGAGCACCATGGTGGAGGATCATATATGAGTGCCCTAAGAAAAAGAACATGCAGGGCAGTGGTAGCATGCACCTTTAATCCCAGCACTCGGAGATCTCTGTGAGTTCAGGGCCAACCTAGGAGAAAGTTCCAGGACAGCCTCCAAAGCTTCAGAGAAACCAAGTGTCAAAAAACAAACAAAAGTCTCTTCGTAGTCAAGAATACCAAACCTAAATTAATTTAGCAAAAAATTAAAAACAGCCTAGAGCCTGGCACAGTGGTATACATTTATAATCCCAGATACTCAGGTGGCTGAGGCAGGAGAATCACAAATTCCAGGCTTGACTGGGCTATATATAGTGAGTTCAAGGACCTCCTAGGCAACTTAGAGACTTCCTATCTGCATAGTATCAGATGACTGATAAGCAAACACCATTTTTAGGTAGAGGTATATTCTTCAATGTCAATGGCTAAAGTGGTTCTTTAAAAAGCAACAAAAACATACTCACATCTTGGCTCAATGCAGAAAAGGTTTTCTGAAGCTCCTTGGCAAATTCCAAATTATGTAGTACTTCTTCATACTTTTCCACTGCTTCCTACCAGACAGATTTAAGAAACAGCAAATCAGTGGTAACCTCAGACTAAATAAGTGTTCCTTAGATTGCCAAAGGGCTGGAGAAATGGCTTAGTGGTTAAGAACACATGCTGCTCTTCCAGCAGACCTGAGTTCCCAGGAACCACATCAGGCAGTCACCCATAACTCCAGCATTAACAGATCTGACATCCTCTTCTCGTCTCCATGGACACAGCATACACATTCCCATACACAGACAGACATATACAAATAAATATAAATCATTTTTAATTGATAAAGGAGATAGGACTTTATAAGTGAGAAAAGCACTTAGTGAAAGAAAAGATCTACAAGTTATATGAAGATATGTAAAAAGGTCTATTTTAATGCTAGAACTTTTGTTTGTTTGAAGACAGGCTCTCACTGGATCTCAGGTTGGCATAAAACTTGTATGTATCCTAGACTAGACTCAAACTTGTGATTCTCCATATCTTTAGATATGCTACCATGCTCAACCCTAATTTTTATATTAGAAATCAGAGCTCTGGGTCATTGAGATGGTTCACTGGGTAAAGAAAGGTTCTTGCTGCCAAACCTGAAGATTTGAATTCAATCCCTAGGACCCACATGGTAGGAGAGAACCAACTTCAGCAAGTGGCCATCTGGCCCACACACACATACACACATGTAACAAAATAAAATAAAGATATCAGAACCCCGATTCTACACTATCTATAACATTTAAGTTAGAGATCTCTAACTTAAGCCACTAAGATACCTCAGTCAACATCATTTCACCACTCAAACATACTATAGGAATAATACATATCACGCAGGAGAACAGCAACTGTGAAACATCTAAAATATGGTGAAAATGTGTAATTATGTGTAACAGACATCATAAATATTATAAAAAGCACTATCCTTCTGAAATTAAAGAAGTAATTTTTTTTCTTTTAAGATTTCATACCATGCCAGGCTGTGATGACACCCATCTTTATTCCCAGCACCCAGGAGGCAGAAGCAGGTAGATCTCTATGAGTTTGAGGCCAACCTGGTCTACAGAGTGAGTTCAGACAGCAAAGGCTACACAAAGAAACCCTGTCCCGAAAAATAAAACAAACAAACAAAGATTATATACTAGAGGGGCTGGAAAAATGCCTTAGGGTAAGGGGCACTTGCTGCTCTTGCAAAGGACCTGGGTTTGGTTCACAGCACCCATGTCATGGCTCACACCATTTATAGCTCCCGGCCCAGGAGATCCAACACTTCCTTCTGACCTCCATAGTCACCAAGCACACATGATGGACATAAACATATGCAGGCAAAATGCTCATACACATAAAGTGGCTAAAAGATAAATAAATAAAGTACTTCATACTCAACTGGTAATCAGAGAAGAGATTGTGTTGCCAATTTAACTCTTTGTGGAGAAAAACGAAAGTCAGTTTGGGGTCAGAATATAAGATGGCTCAGTGGGTAAAGGTACTTGCTGGCAAACCTGCCTACCAACTCTGGTCCCCAGGAATTACAAGGTGGAAGAAAAGAACTGACTCCCACAAGCTATCCTCTGACTTCCCCCACCACACTCATACCAATAAATAAATGTAATTTTGGCTTTTCTGTTTTGTTGTTTGTTTTCTTTTGGTTTTTGTTGTTTTTGTTTGGGGTTTTTTTAATTTAGGTTTGTGTGTGTGTGTGTTTGTTTTCTTTTGTTGTTGTTGTTGTTTTGTAGAAAGAGGAACTGCTAAATACCCACTAATATAAGTGAATACAACGATTCTTAAAAATCGGACATTTTTTTCAACAAAATTACCTATAGATGAACTCTATACACTAGTGGTCCTCAACCTGTGGGTCCCTTTAGGATAGTATATCACATATTTACATTATGATTCATAACAGTAGCAAAATTACTGTTACGAAGTAGCAGCAAATAATTTCATGGTTGAGGACCACCACAACATAAGGAACTGTATTAAAGGGTTGCAGCGCTAGGAAGGGTGAGGACCACTGCTATAGACCCATGATTAATGTGTTCCCTGAAATAAAGTTTTTCACCTACCAAAATATGTAAAGGTGATGAAAGCTGAACTGTTTGAACTGTCAAAAACAAAAGCAACTTAAGCATCCATCTGTTCATACACAGTGAGCAAAAATATAGCTACTTAACATTAATAAATTGAGTGAATAGTTCTAAATAGAATGAAGACAAACTGTAAAATATACAGCAAATTATTGATCATAAGGAACAAAAAAAAAAGCAGTTCTAAGAAATTTAATAGGAATAAACAGGTTTTGTTAAAAACAAAAGCAGGGGCAGGGCTGGAGTGATGGCTCAGTGGTCAAGATCATTTGTTGCTCTTGCAGAGGGCCCTAGTTCAATTCCTAGCACCCACATGGTGGCTCACAACCACCCAGAAAGGACTCCAGATCCAAAGGATCCAATATCCTCTTCTGCTGTTTTTCTGATGGCACAGTGGCAGCATCTGAATCTGCTGCTATTTCAGCCAGTAATTTCGGCTCTGAAGGTACAGGCCGGCTTCTCAGGCACTTCTTCCTGCCACTGCCACCAAATGTAGTTTTTAAATAAATATTGTTCTGTTATGAAATAATCTTCTGTACTCTGTGAAGATGTGCCTTTGTGTCAAAGGGCCTTCTGATTGATTTAATAAAAGAGCTGACTGGTTGGTAACTAGGCAGGAGGTATGGGTGGGACAGGCAGACACAGAGGACACTGGGAGGAAGAAGGGCAGAGTCTCAGGGGTCACAAGAGATACAGAGAGAAGATAAACGTGCCATGTTGAAAGAAGGTACTGCCACATGGATGGATAAGAAATACGCATTAATTTAAACGGTAAGAGTTAGCTAGTACCAAGCCTGAGCTATGGACTGAACATTTATAATTAATATTAAGTCTGTTTATTAGAGAGCCTGCAGTCCCGACAAAAAATTCCACCTCCAGTTCTATTTATCAATAAGTCTTGGGATACAGAGGCTGGGGTGAAAACCTGCTACCTCAGAGGTTGAGGAACAACTAGCTGACCTTTCCTCTTCATCAGCATCTCAGAAAGGTGTCCTTCTGCTCCACCAAACCAAAAAAAGACCACCATACTCAAAGTCCCTCCCTACTAACCCCTGTGTGTCTCTATCCATCTTCCAGACTCTGACTCTCTGATTACTTTCTGTCAACTGGTTGCTGGCTCTACCAGCAAAGTTGATTTTATTTAATTAACACAAACACAAACTCAGGGGTCACAGTGTGATCAAATATCCTGCAACATTCTTCTGACTTCCAAAGGCACCGAGCACACATGTGGCACACATACACATGCATGTGAAATACACAAAATAAAATGAACAAATGTAATTCTTTCAAATAAGTATAAGAAAGGGAAGGGAGGGATTTAAAGAGCACAGTTGGAAGAAAGAGTATTGCCAGGAAGGAGCATCAGTGGCATTTGTATGTATCACTTGAGTCAAGATGAGCACTTATGCTTGCTTTACTATCCTCTACGACTTACAAGCAACATTTTGTCAGAACCACAGATTTCATAAAAGAGAAGACAAAGGAACTCTCCAGCTATATGGGCTGAAAATGTAATAACAGCACATAATCCTCAGAGGGCTATACAACTAGAAGGAATACCATTCCACACCCTCCCTCAAGAGGCAGCCATGATTAGCCAGGTACTATCTCAACTTACCAATGTGTACCACTCTTCCCTCTCTCCACCCTGTGATGAAGGATTTTCTATCAGGGTCCTAGACCAAATTCAATTCTGCCTTAAAAGGAATCCTTATTCTCATGTAAGTACATATATATGGAAGCCAAAGAGAAACCTCAGATATAATTCTTCAAGCAGGGTCCACACTGGTGCTTTTTGAGGTTGTTTTGTTTTGATTTGAGACAAGGTTTCCCTGTGCAGCCTGGCTTTCTGGAACTTACCGTGCAGGCCAGGCTGTCCTCAAACTCAGAGACTTGCCTGCCTCTGTCTCCACAGCACTGGAAATAAGAGTGTGCACTACAAAGTCTAGCCTATTGGTGTTTTCTAGGATTTTTTTTTTAATTTAATGTGGATGGGTGTTTTGTGTGTGTGTGTGTGTGTGTGTGTGTGTGTGTGTGTGTGTGCGTGCGTGTGTGTGTGTGTATGTGTGTGTGTACCACTTGTGTACCTGGTGGACTCTGAGGCCAGAACATGGCATCAGATACCCTAGAACCAGAGTTACAGATGGTTGTGAGCCACCATGTGAGTGATATGAATTAAACCTGGTTCTCTAGGAAAGCAGTAAGTGCTCTGAACTCCTGAGCCATCCCTCCAGCCCCTAACATTCATGTGTGTATGTATTGGTATGTGCATGAATATTGGTAACCAAGGATGCAAAGGTATCCCCTGAAGCTGGAGTAATAGACAGTTGTGAGCTTAGTGACATGAGTGTTGAAAACTGAACTAGGTTCTCTGGAAGAGTAGTAAGAGTTCCTAAGCACTAAGCTATCTCTACAGTTCTCCATTGTTTTGTTTCCATTTTGTTGGTTTGTCTTGTTTGTTTGTTTTTTTTTTGTTTGTTTGTCGTCTTGTTTTTTGGAACAAGTCTTACATGCAGGGATACATGCAGGCAGAATGCTGTATAAATAATAAGTAAATAAATAAATCTTAAAAGAGTGTACCACCACACCCAACTTTTTACATGGACTCCAGGACTGAACTCAGGGTCTCATGCTTATGCAGCAAGCACTTTACCTGAGTTCACATCAAAAACCCCTCAGTGATATCACTCTAACAGAACTTCTAGACTTCTTACAAACAGAGAAGCTTCCACATTTTAAGTTAGTGGATAGAGTATGAAAACAAAACCAAGGAAATAAACGCGGGCTGATTAGTCAAGTCCCTTCACCAGCTAGAGGGTATACCATGCTCAGAGCTCACACAATTCAAAGCTAAGTCTTAACAGAATCATAATTACTATACCACAGAACTTCTAGGTCATAGCGGGGTCATGTTAACAGGCTCATGTGCCAGATTAAATAACTTCAGGGACGGAGGGGCTATTCAGCAGTTAAGAAGCACTTGCTGTTCTTCCCAGAGGATGTGAATTTGATTTCTATCATCCACACTGAACATCTCAGAACTGCCTGTAACTACAGCTACATGGGATCCAATACCTCTTCTGGCCTCCAAAGGAACCTGCACTAACATGCACAGACATACATGCATACACATATATTTTAAAAAATAAATCTTAAATAACTTCAAGCACATTTTGTCCCTTTTTAAAAGGCAGGAAATGTGATCAGACCAAAACATCAAATAACAATAAAGGATTTTTTTAGTACAAATTGTAAACGTTCTCCTTCACAAATTATTTCGAATTACCAGGTATACCATGAACAGGACAAACTTGGAAAAAAAAGTTGTAGCTTGGCATGGTGTCCCTTATGGCCTATAATGCCAGAATTTCATAGGGCGGTGTAGGAGTACCACTATGAGTTCAAAATAAGAAAAATTATAGTCAATATTTATAGTGGAGTTAATCTTTAAAAGGCTGGGTACATAGCTCAAGTATGAAAGTAAAAGAGAGCAAGTCACAATCATGAAACAAAGCTACAAAAACAAATTTTAGAATAGAAAGATGTCAAGTTTATATTAAACCAGGGAAGAGTTCAAAACTTGAGTATATTCAGTCTTCCTAGAATAAATTAAGTTCAATGTATATGGTAACTCATCTAATCTAATTTGTTCTGTTTAACCCATATCAAGCCAATATCATCTAATAGTGCATACAGGCAGGGCAGATCTCTGTAAGTTCAAGACCAGCCTGGTCTATACAGTGAGTTCCAGGGCAGCAAGGGTTATACAGAAAAACCTTGTCTCCAAAAAGTAAAAAAAAAAAAAAAAAAAAAAAAAAAAAAGGAAAAGAAAAAAGAAAGAAAAGACAATATATCTAACAATCTAACAAATGATCTCAAGCTACTTACCAACTGGTCTGGGTTAAGCTGCTCTCCATTTTTTAGGCGATCTTTATAATCTTCCAGTTTGAGCTACAAAAAAAAAAATTTATTTTATGGCATAATTTGATAGAAAAAAAAACTGAAGCAAAGATTGTTGAAATATGCTAGTATGCCAGACTACAATTTCATACAGGCAGACAGCAACTGTATTTTGACTGAGTTCCAAGTCAGTCGTTAAAAAAAAAAAAACCACAGAACAGTACCAGTCGGCTGCTCTGTCCCATGTATTCAGCCCCGCAGATTCCAGCTAAACTCACCACAACTTAGTATCTATTCCTGGCACTTGAAAAAAGAACTTCCACCCAGCCAGGGTTTGCCTTGTGCTCCAAGAATCTGTTTGCATCTTGAAAATGCAGCTGAGGCTGCTCTAGGAACAGCTGAACACTATAGGCACAAGACACTGTAGCTGGGATGCACTGATGTTAAGAATGTAAGCGCCTAGCTAGGCAGTGGTGATGCACACCTTTAATCCCAGCACTCTGATGGCAGAGGTAGATTTCTGTGGGTTCCAGGCCAGCCTGGTCTACAAAGTGAGTTCCAAGACACTCAGAGCTACACAGAGAAACCCAATCTCAATAAATAAATAAATAAATAAATAAATAAATAAATAAATATGTAAGCTTCTCACTGTATTTAAAAGCATTGTTGAACCTGAAGTTTCCCAAAATGAAGTATAAAAGCAGTCATGTATTTGGGTGTATTAATGTGTGTGGTATAAGATGTAAAGGGGGTTATTTAAAGGATTACATTGGCGTTACCTAATTAGAATATGAAAATATCAGCACTAATGAAATTTTATATAGGAAAAGTATATGGCAAACCAACAAGATACACAGAGCTGTCAGTGTTCTAGGATAAGTTCATTACTATGAACTAGTATAAAAGTTTAGTGATTGAATTTTCCTTTTCTTTTTTTGAAACAGGAGCCCTCTGTGTAGCCCTGGAACTTGCTTTGTAGACCAGGATGGCCTTGAACTCAGAGATCTGCCTGCCTCTGACTCAGGAGTGATGGGATTAAAGGCATGAGCCACCAACCCAACTTGTTTTAATTATGTGTATCTGTGCAAGGGTATAAGCAAGTGCAGGTGCCCAAGGAGGCCAGAGTCAACAGAGGACATTACTCCTCCACCATCACTGCCACCAGACAGCGTTACAGGTGGTTTGTAAAATGTCTTATGTGGGAGCTGGAATCAAGCCAAAGTGCTCTAGAAGAACTGTAAGTTCTCTCTGTTGTTGTTTTTGAGACAGAGTCTTCCTACATAGCCCTGGCTGGCCATGAACTCAGAGATGTGCCTGCCTACCCCTGTTTCTACATTCAGGGATTAAAGGCATTAGCCACCATGCCCAGCTTTCTGCACATACTCTTAACCTTTGAACCATCTCTCCAGTCCCGAATCTTAAGATATTTGAGATTATCACAATTTGCAGAGTCTGGCGGAGGGAAACAGTGCTTCTGGCATCTTTTAGGCAGATGCCAAGATTACTGATAAATATCCCACTACACTCAGGACAGCCTCTCACAAGGAAATATCTAGCACAGTGGTTTTCAACTTGTGGGTCACAACCTCTTTGGCGATCACATTTCAGATATTACAATCCATAACCATAGCAAAATTACAGTTGTGAAGTAGCAACAAAATCATTTTATGGCTGGGGATCACCACAAGATGAGCTGTATTAAAGGGTCACAGCAATAGGAGGGGTGAGAACCACTGCTCTAGCACAAAGCATCAGTAGCATCATGGCTGACTAGTTCTGCAAACTGTAGTTCATACTTCTACTACTAATTTTACCTGTTGCACTGTATGGCATTTTCATAATAGTTAATTTTCTAACAGAAGTACCAAGCAAGATATTATGCTATCTTTCATACTAAATGTGCTATTTAAGAAAATACATAAAAACTAAGTTGCATCCATTAGCCCCATAATCATGACATAAGCATTTTTCAAGCTCCTCCTACATTGGTTTTAGGTCCTAAAATGCTTTCCTAGAAGCTAGAAACAAAGGTGCTAGCAGACAGACATCCAGTATTATGGTTTAGCTGAGTAATACAGGAAAACACATATTTAACTTCTCCTATAGGAAGGTTATTAATGAATCTCCACTACAGACCCTGCATTAGCTGGTTCTCGGTGATAAGGAACCTGTGCTGGCCCAGGCACAATCACTTTGTCACACTAGTAATTAAATGTATGCATCCAAATGATGCATGGAAAAGATAAGGGCCACTGGCCTTTCTGTACTGCCTTCCAACACAAGGGAAGATACAGTCAGCAAAACTCAAAACTCTTTTCATATCCCTCTACAAAAAAAAAAAACTAAAAACTTTCCTAATCTTTCTGCACAAATTTTAAGAGAAAGTAGGTCCAGATACTTACTCTGCCTTAACCTGTCAAAAGCAAATGAGAACCATCCCAAGGGACTGTTTCACAGGCTAAATGACTCAGGAAGTGAGAAATGATCTGAATCTTTACCATACCACTTACTGTAATGTTAAGGCTGGTAAGAATCCAAGTCCCTTTACAAAGCTATCTACAATACTTTCACGAACCAATCTTCACCCATTATCTAGCAGTGGGAGAAATAAGGTTAAAGCATTTCCTGGCTCAGGACAAAATGCTTCCAGTGATCGCAGCAGCTGTACTGACACATCACTCGATGCAGTCACAAGGAGAATGAACTAAAATATCAAGGATAAGAAACAATATGTACCTCAAAAAATTTAATCAGACCTAAAACAGCAGACTTTTCAAATATTTCGAAAGCAGTATGTGTAACAACTTTACTGTTATGAATATTGTATTCGGCTATTTTGGCAAATGAAGCAAGCATTTAGCCTGGATGCTTAGTTATTCCCAGGCAACTAAATCTCAAGGTCACTTAAATTCTTTGTAAGACCTATGTTCTCTGATGATAAAGAATTATGCCAACTCCTTAACCCTGGCTTAAGGTCATGCACATTCAGGGGCTTGGAGGGGGTTAAAAAGTTACCTTCTTTTTCTCGATGTTCCTAATTTTGTGTTTAAGGCATATGAGTCCATTATCGATATAGGTTTCATACACCTGGGAAGCAGATGCAGCAGACTGCACAGGGCCCAGGGCCTGCTGGCTTTCCCCATGCTGACTGTGGTTCACATGGGGCTTGGCTGACTTCATATTTCCCACTCTTCCCTCCTCTGAATGGCCTGAAGGTGACTGGTAACCGAAAAGTAATGAAGAGAGAGTGAGGAGAGCTGCACCACTGAAACAGATGACTCTGAAGGATTGGGGCGGGGAGGAGGGGCAGACAAGTGCAAATGTAACATCTCCGGAAAACCTTTCTTTAAAATGTTCTTCCACAGAAATGAACTCAAAACACAATGTTGCTCCATTCAGCGTACTTGCAATAAAGGCAGCCTATAGGCAGGCAAAATTTGCACTATAGGAATGTTTCCAGAAGTTCTATCTCCCGCACGGAGAAATAATGCCAAGCAAGCAAAGGGCTTCTGACTTCTCATTCTGAACAATTTCCATGGTCATCACCCAAGGAGGGGTTGGATTGGGGGGGGGGTGATCTGGAGGGGGTATGACCACTTCCCACGTTAGCACCTCTTTACCTGAGCCTTTACTTCAGCCCCCAACTTCAATCTACCTCAACGTCTAAATGATGCAAGTTTCTTGAACAAGTACGTTAACGTGCATCACCCCTGGTCAGAGTAGCCAACCAAGTCTTCTCACGGACTGCATGCCGAGGTGGCTTCCGGTTGCAAGAGAGCTAACTCAACACCGCCCACTCCCACACGAGCAAGCCTTCCACTGCCGGCACCCAAGGACCCAGGACACCAAGGTGTCGGGCACTTCACCTCCATCCGAGGAGCAAAGCCAGAGCCGGACAGCCCCTGCACGAGCGTTCAGGTGCCCTCAGCGGCCGAGCTGAGGCGCCTCAGCCGGGGTCACAAACCCAAGGGCCCACGCAGCCCCCGAGACGCGGAGCACAGGCTCTGCAGGGAGCCGAACCGCAGCAGGCTGAGGCACCGCGCCCGTGCACCGGGCGGCGGCCGCGCAGCCCCGCCCACCCCGCTTCGCCTCCCCGGCTGCCACGGAAAGCGCGCGGGACCCCACACTCCCTCCTCCCGCCTCAGCTTAGCCCGCGGCGACGGCCGACTGACAACCGGGGCCACCACGCCGCCGCCCGCGCCCAAGTTGGCGCAACCAGGCGCGCGCGCGCGGCTTATGTAGGCTCCGCACGGCGAGGCCACGCCCACGGACCGCCCATTTTCCTGCCCCCAGCCCCGCCCCCAAGCCCGCAACTCCCCTTAGGAGGCTTCGCCTTCCGGTGCCCCCGCCCCCTTCCGGTACCCGGGCCTGCGTGGGAGCGGTTCCTCCCCGGAGCTCTCCTCCGCCGTCCTCCGCTCCCTGCGCCTTCGCGCGCTGCTCCTGAGGCCCTGCACCTGGGCCTTTTGCAGATGATTCCAATCCCCGAGAAAGACGAGGCAGAAAGTCGTGTGCAGAATGACCGGATAAACCACTCTCCACGCTCTAGTGGTTTAGGTGGGCGCTTTTAAAATACAGGAGCATCTGTGCACCCCCGCCCCCGTGATTTTCTTTTTCATTGTGGAATGAGGAAGAGCACCATGGCCACTCGGGCGACTCGGCCTGTAAGAGCAGAATGCTCTTACCTGCAGCGGTTGTGATAGGAGGGTGTGCCGCAAGGCTACGAGTTGCTATGCACCAATTCATTTCATTGGCACTGAAACAGCTGGTAAGATTGTAAGTATTGAGTTGCATAAAGTCGGTGGAAAAGACGAAGTGAACCAGCTTCTGAAGGACTGGCAGTGTTTCCTGTATCAAATTAAGATTAGTGGCTTACTCACTAATCCTAGGGAGGCAGGGATAGGACTGAGCAAAACAAAACAACCAAAAAAATAAACCCGCAGCCTGCCTCAGAAACTAAATAAAATAATAGAACTAATAAATATAAAACAATGACTTACCCCTAAGTATTTTACCAAACAGAAGAGATTTTTAAGTCCTATCCATGAGGCAATGATAATTATTTAGAACAGGACAGTCAAAATAATAATAATCAAGTAAGCAAAGGCCCAGCCAGTTTAAAGTCCCGCCAATACCACAAATAAATAAAATAAAAAAGTCCCCTTGGTTTGGCATTTCTTGATTCTATATTCTGCCACTTACCAATTGGGTTCATCCTGGTGGTATTCGTACACCTAGTCTTGTTTTATTCTATTTTGTTATGCGTAGCGATGTTTTGCCTGCATATGTTTGTGTATCACGTGGTTGCCTGGTGCCAGAAAGGGGCACTGGGTCCTCTGCAACTGGAGTTACAGACAGATATAACTGAAAAGCAGCCAGTGCTCTTAACCATTGAGCCATCTCTCCTCCCTCTTCTGTTAATCTTGTGTTCTAGCTTGAATTTCTGAACCCCAGTGTGTAACTTGAACATTAGACAAGCATTAAGTTGTCTCTTCCCTCCTTGTTTATAACCAGACAAAGAACATGCTGCTGAACTGAGGAGGAAAGCTAATAAATACACTCTTGGCTTGACCACACAGAATGGACATGAAGCCTGTGATGAGCATGTCTTGGGAAAACTTAACTGACACATTATATTTGCAAAGTATGCCTTTGTTAGCCTATGCTAATAATGAACCTAACAATAATATTTCCAACAAGGGATGGTAGCACATACCTTTACAAACACACACCTCCCAGAACTCAAGAGGCGAGGAAGAAGATGCCAAGTTTGAGTACAGCCTGAACTACAGAGAGAGACTGATCGCCCCCCTCCAAAAAAAAATTATCATTTGGGCCATTATATCCAGCTATAACTCTTAACTACTCAGAAGAATTATTAATAAATCTATTAATAAGACACTAATTACCTTAATCAATTAATATGAGGACTTGTCTGGTCTAGAACTTGCTATGTAGACCAGGCTGGTCTGGAACCCACAGAGGTCCATCTCGAATTCTGGGGCTAAAGGCATGTGCCATTACACCCAGGTAAGATTAATGCCTGAGGGGCTTATATTTTCTATCACATTTCAGTGGCTTTATTTATGCTGTTTGTGGGACAGTAGTGAATACATTCAGCCCCCTTGAAGTCCCTCAGGAGAACAGTGAGTAGTCACTGGCTGCCACTTTCCTTGTTCCCTTTCTGGTCTCACCTTTCACCTGCCCACTCTGAAGTTCTTTGAGTTCTTTTTGTGATTATTAACAAGCAGCTGGTTGTGGCACAGGCCTCTAATCCCAGCATTCAGGAAACTGGGTAGGAAAATCTTTGCAAGTTGGAGGCCAACCTGGTCTACAAAGTAAGAACCTCTATCATAAAAACAACCTAGGAAAATGGCTCAGCCAATAAGTGCTTGCCAAAAAAAGGCATGAAGTGCTTGGAACCCTAGAACTCACATGAAAAACAAAATATAGTGTGTGTCTGCAAACTAAGCAATCGAGAGGCAGAGACAGCAGCTTTGGGGTTTGCAGGTCAGCCACTCTAGCTGAAGAGGTGAGGAGTTCCAGTTTCAACAAGAGACTCTGTCTCAAAAAATATGGCAGAGGACAACTGAGGGTAGCAAGTCTCTCTGTCCTGCCAGCCAGCTCCCAAACCACAACACAGAGACTTGTCACTAATTATAAAAGCTCAGCCTATAGCTTAGGCTTGTTTCTAACTAGTTCTTATAACTTAAATTCACTCATTCCCATTCATCTATGTCCTGCCTTGTGGCTCATGGCTGTTGCCTCTCCTCCTGCACATCCTGCTTCCTCTGTGTCTGGCTGGCAACTCAGCCCTTCTTCCCAGCATTCTCTATGCCCCCAAAATCATGCCTAGCTATTGTTTTGGTTTGGTTTGGTTTTTGGAGACAAGAGTTTCTTTGTGTAGCTTTGGATCCTGTTCTGGCACTCACTCTGTTGACTAGGCTGGCCTTGAACTCACAGAGATCTGCCTGCTTCTGTCACCCCACCCCCACCCCACCGAGTGCTGGGATAAAAGGCATGCACCTCCACCGCCGCCACCACCACCACACAGCACCTTTCAGCTTTTTATTAAACCAATCTGAGTACATATCATCACAGTATACAAAATGATTATTTCACAACATGAGGGAGACACCCAGCATGTCTCTGGCTTACACACACATACATACACACACACGTATGTACACAAAGGAATATGTACACATACACATCACAATGAAAACATTAACTAGATGAAGATGCGAAAGCAAGTTCTATATCCTCTGTGGCAAGTGAGCTTTTTGACTCTTTGATATAAATGGCTCTTCATTTGCGTCATCCATCACAATTTTATTCTCAAAGCTTTTGGAAATTAGCCTCTTGTAAATCATGCCACACTCATTAAAGCCTTAAAGTGAATGTCGCTATCTGAATAAATTCAGTGAATTAGTTGAATAATGTTTCCTGTAATCTCAGTAGGAATCCTGAGAGAATTATATTCTTCCTACAGGTCAGTAACCTTCAGGAAAATAAAAGGAAACTAACATGCTGATTTTCGTACAAAACAGAAAAAATACACAACCCATAAAAAGTTCTTGAAGACAGCCAAAGGAAGGACATGGGTCCCTAAGTAGGAGTTCATAGAACAAGATCTCCCCTGTGGTGATTTGAATGAGAATGGCCCCCATAGGCTCATTTATTTGAATGTTTGATTCCCAGTTGGTGGACTGTTTAGGAAGGATTAGGAATTATGGCTTTATTGGAAGGACTGTGTCACTGGGGGTGGAGGTTTCAAAAGCCCATGCCAGGCCTACCTAGTCTCTATTTCCCTGCCTGCTTCCTGTGAATGAAATGTAAACCAGGTGGTATCTACATAAATGAGTTCTAGGACAGCCACAGCTGTGTAACAAGCCCCTCCCCCTCAAAAAAAAAAAAAAAAAGGTAGGATCAGGCAGGCCTTGCTTCCCACAGTAATGGTAACTTGTCTTGGTCATGATGTCTCTTCATAGCAATAGAAAAGTAATTAAGACAGCCCCCATCTTAGAAGGGTACAGATCTTCATCCACATGCTCCATGCTGCTGGAGATGCCCAGGCTTCTGTACACACGTCCAAGGACACACTGCTACAATGACTCCTGATAGCCATACCTTCTAAACTGACTTTTAAGTCGCTATGACAAAATGCCTGATTATCAGTACAGAAGGATTGAATGAATATTTGTTTTGGCTCCCAATTTGAGAGGTTCCCTTTCACAGACCT